CCCAATATATTACCACTGGAAACCGGTGCCATTCTTCTGTATGTCAATATGACATGTCATTCAAATATTTTCCGACCATATTTTTGTGTGTCTATTTTGATCCAAAGGTTTCCAAATCACTAGTGTCAGTGTGTATTGTCTTACAAGTAACGTTCTACGGTCGTATTCCATCATTATTCTATCGAAGCTTCGATCGACTATACTATTTACGAAATAAAATGCTACATTTCACTTCCTGAATTCAATGATTCTCGAAATGCAATGCGAATGGAAAGCTTATGAATTTAAGTACCGACAGAAAGAAGATGACAATGTCTCCCTCTCTCATACACACAATATCGCCTAAGTGCTATCCTCATCATATCCGGTCGTAATTTTTCAACGCTTCGTCTTCTTCTGCACGTGCACGGAAAATGTTTACTTCGTTTGATTAATGCTTAAAATGAAGTGCTATCCAAGTGAAAAGTGGAGCGGTTTTATTACGAGTGTGGTTGCATTTTGTGCTTCATTGAATCATACAGCTTTTTTTTTCTATATCAATTTAAACAATATTTGCGAGAGAAATTATTCCAGCTCAAACACACACACACATACACAGCACCGCAAAAACAATGGGAAAATTGAAAATGCCAGTCTATTTGAGATTGGTTGACTCTTGAATAAACACTTAAAAATGTGTCCAATAAATCATTTGCAAACATTTTGTGGCTTACTTTTGCTGACACAATAATGCATATGGAATTTATTGTTCCATTTTGCGCCAACGTTGAGTGTTTTGAAATTCATGACCATAATTCGATATCGATGCACTTCAATTCAGTGCATTGGATGTGTTCCATTTCACCTGAGAAAGCAGGAGCGAAGAATGAACTGAAATAGAGAGAAAGACTGTACGAAGAAATAGAGAGAGAGAGAGAGAGAGAGAGAGAGAGTGCGAGAGAAAGAGAGACCATACGCCATTGTAGATTCTATATATTATCGAAACCAAATACTTGTTATTCGATTCGAGAAAATATGCAATGCACTGTGTTATGCAAACCACCATATAATTGGTTTAAATGTGAAAAATATGCGCAGCGTGAAAAATGCAAACAAATTAGCAAGACAGGGATTGTACGAAAGAAAAACAGAAAGGGAGGAAAAGAGATTGAGTGAATGCTGAATGCAAGTCTTGGCAACTCTCATTTTCTTCTCGATAAATGCGTAGAATACAGGGTAAAAAATCTGACAAATGCCATTTGATGGCGGAAAGGACACGGATACTTGAATTCAAGTTTCATTGAGACAAATAAAGTGCACTTGTTTCCAGTACCATGAACTGGTGTTGATATAATGTTCACATGTGAGGTGAATGCGTGCGTGTGTGTGTGTGTGCGGCTGGAGTAATATGGGCGAGGAAAGAGCAAGAAAACGAGATAGTGAAACTGTGCTATGCCTTGTCTCGTTGAAACGGCATTAACTGCTAACTTACATGCGTCGTGTGTGTAAACCTATATTACAAAAGTATAGAAATAATTACGATCAATGGCCGTGTAGCCACAAGCTCTTTTCACATTACATTCGCTCTCAAAGCACTGTGGTTGCTTTGTGTTTTATGGTGACAAAAATACCTTCAAAATGAAACCGAATCGTTTGGTGAAATAAGAAGTGCATGGGAAATGGCTCTTGAAAATGGACAAAAGACATTCACATCGTGCATACTCAGTCGAAGAGAGAGAGGAAGAGAGAATGAAATGTTTGGCATTGCTCTTCAAGACGTATTCTAGAAGATGAACGAGCAGTCGCTTAAAAAGCGCAATTCGAACTAGCAAAAGCAGTTTCAAATAGAATTATAACGATGTCAGCGAAGAAAAACCCATGATTGCCATCGATGCACCTCTCAAAATTGGTGGCATCGGTGCCAATTCATGGTACGAATAAGTGTTGTCAAATGCACACCGTGATGCTCTTTTGGCGGGCAATGACTATGTCTTGCACCGCCAGCCGAGCGAAAGTATGTACTAGTTGGCTTTTTAATACAGTGCGAATATTTGGCGAGTCTCCGCCATAAAACGTGCCTCTTTCGGATAAGTAAAAAACAAACTGTGTGGATAACAACATCGAAAAAATCGGGTGATTTTTTTTTTTCGTACTCTAACCATCATGACATCAATTGAACACGTATTATATGACAGAAAATCGAAGAGTAGAAAAATTACGAAAGAAACACGAGTTTTATCGTTGTTGTTTTTTCTTTGCTTGGACTTATCACCGAAAGAGAAAGTAATGTGGCTTTTTTCTTTCTCTGATGACGAATTGGGAATTTGACTGAATGCAATTGGTTTGACTTTTACAAGCTTTTCCGTGACAAGCATTTCGCAAATACAGAGCCATCATCGGAACCATATAGAGTGGTATTGAACACAAAGAGAGAAAAAAGTGTACAGAGGCGATAAAAAAGTGAGTATGACAACGACATAATAATGTGATGGGTATGTTTGCCATGCGATGTAACCATTAAAAATGATGACATCTGACACGATAAGATAAAGCAAACTAAAGACGCAACGCGCAGCGAGCAGCTTAGCCATCGCACTCAGAGTGTGTGTGTGTGTGTGTGTGTGAATGTTGCACTGATGTGCCAAAGTGTTGCCACATAACCTCCGTAATTGTATTAAATACACGGTGTCATTGTAGACGACTGAACATGAATGACAAATGGCACTATATGTCTGTGCAGCGGCGTGTTCATGAAAATCATGTTCACGCTCGTCTTGATGCATGCAACGGAATTGGCGGCGCATTTTTTTCCTTTTTCTTCATACTTGATGTCGCGATTGAAGGTAATCATGGTTTCCAAACAATGAGCCATGATTCAAGTACAGAATATGAAAAAAAAGGAATCAATGCACACAAATCAACACATCGTTGCAAATTGTTTTCACCCTGATTGAGCATTCAACAAACGCTTTGGGGTGTGTACGCTTGAAGTCTCTTTTCCATTTCCATGGTCATTTAAAAATCATTTTCCATTACACAAACATGGTTTGTCGGATAGACAAGAGCCATAAAAGATTGCAGATAATACATAAGCCGAAATCAAAGCCAACTCATTAGTTTCCGCATAACTAAACTCGGGAACATTAATTCCACTTCCATATTTATCAATTGCAAAATGTAACGAGAGAAAATATCACAGCTTAAGATATCATCTTGAATGAGTTTCAAATCGTGCCAAACAGACACATACACACACACACACACACACACACACACACACATACATGCACAAGTAGCCCGAAAATGTCCATGACGAATTACATTGGTTATGTAAACCGCAATGTGTATTTGCGACGGGTTTTTCCTCATCTTTTTAGCCGGTCGCTTTGCTGCTGTTGCTGCCTGTTTGCTTGTGCCGACAGTGACAGCGACAAGAAGACGAGAATGAAAAAAAATCATCATTCCATCTCATTAATAGCAACGTAATGCGTCCTTCTCAATATGCTGTGCATGTTGTAGTAAATTTAGCGCTCAAGTGATTTCGTTCATTTGAAGAATAAATAAAGAGAATGAGGCGGCGCGCAACAAAACACGTGTACCGGACAAGAACAGCAAAGTGAAGAAAAAAGTAGCAACGAACGAACGTATATTGCGAAAAATAAAAACGTGAGCCACTCTCTCTCTCTCTCTCTCTCTCATCGGAATACGTACACGTGGGATGTCTACTGCAATGACACTAATAAATCACTTTCGTTCATTCCATACTCGTATCATCGTCGTTATGCTGTCAAAATGTGTGCAGTTTTGATTTATGGCACACGAATTCATTTGTTTCAGTGGTGCAATCCAGAATAGATTGTGTGTGTGCCTAAAATTTTAATCAAATCACCGGGTTAGTTTAGGTCAGCCGTTGGAAAAATCATAAAAACGCCATACGACTGAACCCGGAAACAAATGCATGCACATTACTTGAGCCTTTAAAATGATGAGAATGACCACGATTTTTTCCCGTTCAATGTACCGTGTGGTCGATAACCCCTCAGAAAAAAATGTAGCTTGCAGAAAAAAGCTTTCAAGAATATGAGCTATAAACAAATTCAAAAAATCTTTTATTGATGGAAAAATTTACGCTAGAATAATCAAAAATTACAACATTTTAATTTTCCCTCCATTGTTTTATGTCTTTATTTCGAGTCCACTGTTGAATGCGCGTATTGATTCATTCTGTTATTAAAATCATTACTCTTTTCTGTGAAAAAGCATACTACACCCTTTTCTCTGTAATACTGAGTGTGTTATTGAAATGTGCCACGTTCTATTTAAGTAATTAAATTTTCTTGACGCCTAACTGTGTTTGGAAGCGAGAACAAAGAAATGTCAACCGAGAAAAGACACCATTTTCAGCGATGAATATCCGGTACCCATACAAAGCCAGAGAGAGAAACTATGTTTCCATTTGTGAATTAACGCCTGCTGTACCAGAGATGAAAATTAAATTTTCTGATTACACATAAATGGAACACAATGCTCGCTGAGTTCTCGTTTTTTTTTCTTTACTTTATGTGTGAAAATCAACTTTAATTTTGTCTTCCGAAGATTGTTTTTCCATCGTTTCCTTAGCGCTACTCAGTGAGCAGTGATTCGATGCAAGTAAACTTTAATTCATATTTGAAATGCCTCGAGAAAAAAAACAGCTCAAGATTGAAATTACAATTTCAGTTGAAAGCCTCAAGATTATCTTAAGAAAATTCAACAATGAACGCCTTTTTTGCAGTTCTATCAAACCACTCGAAAATGAATAGTCAGCGAACGGCTTCCATGTTCTTGAACTGTAATAAATTTTATTTCCATATCATTGCAATGTCGCTTCAATGCTTATCCGTTCAACTTAAATTGGCCGATAGTGCGCCATTTTTCATAGGATATAAGTAAAACTAATCGTTTTTTCATTTTCTTCGTTTGTAATTAAAAATGGCGGTTAAAATATAATTTCGAATATAATACATCGCTCAATAACTTACCGGTACGCGTGAAGAGCTGGTTAAATAGGCCCATTCATCGCCTCCTGGTGCATTACCTTTGCCCGTTGTTTTTTTGATTTCCTCATCTTTTTTCTCCAGTTCGCGTCGCATTTTCGGATTGAAAAACTCGACAAACGGCCCTTGAACTATTTACAGCAGTTTTTCGAGATCAATTTTCCATGGCATAACAACAAAAAACCGGACCAGCAAAAAAAAAAACAGACAAAAACCAAATTTACATTAATAAGTTTTAAAACGTTAGACTTGAGTTTGTTTTTGTTTTTATTTTCTACCGTAGAAATCTTCAAGTAAAGTTAGCAATATGAATTTTGCACCGAAATAATATAGGGAAATTAGAGCGCTGTCGGCACAATAAAAGTTGCATCATAAATGTATGTTTTGCTGTTTTTTACCACCATCATGGTAGCTGGGATGGAGAGTGAATTGTTTATCGCATTGTTCGGAGAATTGCCCAGTTTAATATATAGAAAAAGAAAGTTAATCAAGTATTTATGCACATTTTATTTTTCTCCTTCTTCTTTCTTTCACCCTCATCGAATAGCATCGCTGTTGTTATTATATTGTGAATATTGATCTCAATCGAAGCGAGCAAAACTCTCGGTTGATTGTGTTCTGCGAAACTCAAGACCAATTATCTGCACTTGACTTGAAAGTATATGAACGGAGGAGTGGGTGAGCGTGTAGAGAGGGAGGGTAAAAAGCGAGAACGGGCTGCGTGGCGAAAATTGAAACTTAATGCACTAAAATGTTTGCCATTCTCTGAGGTTTCGACTTATTTATATAAACGTCGCTGATAACTTCCGAACTTGATATGACACAATACAGTGGAAAGTTTTTGCAGGCACACCATTTCGGTGGAAATGAGCCAGGGATCAGGCAGTTGAAACTCAAACATATATACACACACACATAACCACAACAACAAGACCAACAAGAACAATGAACACTCTGGAAATATGCCGGCTAAATCTATTATGCAGTTGATAAAATGGGTATGAATTTGATGCCATTATCTTGGATTCAAATACACAAACACACACGGGCACTACGCTCACACACGCACACACAGCATCTGCTTTTCTATCATCATCTCACAATGTGGCGGAAACTTTTGTCGGCTCATTTTCTCAACTCTTTATTTTCCTTTTCGGCGATCTGCAAATTCTTTTTGTTCTTATCTTTTTCTCACTCTCACTCCCACCTCCTGTCTTGATTCGTTGTGTGTCCCAAGTTTTTAATGTTTGTTTAAGTGTTGTTGTATTTTTTTGCGCCTCGGCTGTTGTTGCTGTGTTGGTCATTTGTTTTGTGTCGGTATGAAGTGGCAGCGAGTTCGTTTCATAATTTTGGCCGCCCCGACAAGTCATTTGAGGCAAAAATTTTTTGATTAAATTACAGAGTGAATCACTTACCATTGTTTTGTGCATCAGTTACATAGTTTTCTTTTAAAATATTTGCAGCACGTCGTTCTCGCATTGTGTTCAGCATTGGTGATGGTTTTCGTTCCGATTTTTGTGGCTGTTGTTGATATTTGTTTTGTTTTTTGTTGCTGTCATCGGCGGCGTCATCGTCACCATCATCATCATCATCATCATTGCTGTTGTCATAATACGGCGTTTGGCTGCCCGTGCTAAACAAGCAACAAAACAAAAAAAAAACGAGAAAAACGAAAGATATCTTTAGGTTAATTTCGAATACAGCAATGAGGACGTAATTTTTTTTTAAAGCAAATAGCCAGTTTCATCGAAAGCGATTTGCATGTGGAATTTTTGTTGTTTGAATTGCTGCCAATTTGACGGTAACCGTAAAGATTCCAATTCGTGCTGGCTGACAGGAGTGATATTTGGTTATGTTGTTTTTTTTTGTGTATTTATTAGATTTTTTGTCCATTTGTTCGGTTTTATGTTTCCATTTTCGGTGAGTGAGAATGAATGAGAGTGTGTATGTTGCATATTTGTACCGGGTATTGTTCACGTTTTTATTTTTTCAACAAAATTTGATGGCCTGTTGCCATATCCGCCGTCAACCGGTTGATAGACGAGAGTTAAGGGATGTACGGACAACCAGCCGAACCGAACGCAATGAGAATGTGACAAAAAATTTAATGAAAAGAAGCAAAAATCTTGTGATTTTGGCAGTTGATTGGTTGAGTGATGTTGTTGACGCGAATGAGAACAATATGTCTCATCTCTAATTCTTTCTCCACCAAAAAAAAATCGGATCAAATGACAAAAACAAAAGATTTTGTTTCAAACCGATGTTGATGCGATCCGTTATCGCATGAAAAATGCAAAACAATAGCAATCGCTATCGAACTAGAAGTTCGACCAATGCAAAGGACAAATATTGCGCACCAAAACACACTTAATTTTTTCCAGATTGTAAAATGATGATAATGGTGTTGTTATCTTTAAATTTTAGGTTTACATTTTTTTTTTTCACAAAAAGTGGGGAAAATCTTCTAACGCGGCGAGCGATTCGATTGGCTCAATACGACTTTCAAATTAAATAGATTGCATTAGAGCGATATAGAGTTCATAATAAAGAGAAAGTGAGCAGAGACAATTTAGCGACGAGATTTAGGTGTCATAAAATGGTGCCATGCTTTTTTCGTCGAAACGACACGATGACGACGATGCTGGTGGCGGTGGGGTGGTTGTAATTTGAACGCTTCAACTGTTTTATGATAATGTCGTTGTGTTATTCATTCTGGAATCCAACGGATCACACTTTCCCTCGTCAAGATGCAAATTCATGTTTCCGGCGATAGTCTTTTCTCTCACTAGCTCTGTTTCGGAAGCATCAAAATAGTATCATTGGTGTTTTGCTACCGATTTTCTTGTTATTTCTTCTTGTTGTTGTTTTTCCTTCTGTCGACCGCTTTTTTTACTCTCTTGGTTTGGCATTGTCGTCGTTGCCGTCGTTGGCTGGGTTTCGTTTGTCTTCGCCACCATGCCATACCATAAAAATGATTGCTAAGGAAATTGCTACTGCTCTTTTGCTTGTTCATATTACATAAATCTCATTATAAATAAATAATTTAAGCGGTCATTATTTGGTGTGCGCGCGTTCAACACTCTCAACAAAGTGTCATCGAGATTTTAGCTTTAGCCAAAATGGCTTAGATCTCACAGTTGCCGTGGATTATTTTCGCAATGAGATCAAGCAATTTCAATCTAATGGAGAAAACAACACACAAGATGCGCGTGTTCCCACTCGTAATATAAACGGAAGACAGTAGGAAAAAAAATAAAGAGAGCGAGCGAAAACGTTTGAATTTAATAATGCGTAACGTGAATTTTTCTACAACATCGAATCAAACGGTCCATGCATATAAATGGCAAATGCTGCTTCTTTTTTTGAAAATCAGAGAAATAGAGAGTGGAAAATTGTATGCGAGCGCGACAAATAAACATAAATATAGAAAAAATGTGTGCAACTAAGTTTAACCGTATGTGCCTCTATTCCGAATTGTTCTGGTCTAAATTTGATCATACGTTTGTGTGTGTGTGTGTGTCGTGTCTTTACTGTTTGTTGCTGCTGTTGTTGTTTTTATGTCCGATTCCAGCAAATAAAGATGTTGCCTAGTTGGGTGAAACGATTGCATCAACGATTTTGCGACAGGCACAAATCGAATGTTCTCCTCCAACATCGTTTTTGATTCGGTTGTAGCGAGAGAGAGAGAGAGAGAGAGAGAGAGAGAGAGAGAACTGTTTCGGTTGTTATGTGTATATGTGGACCAATTCAAGATGTACAAATGTGTTTTGTGCCGTTTGTAATGTTTTCTGTCGGTTGCTTTGCTTTCTCGTCTGGACACTTGTTACGAGATTTCGTCATGAGAAACAGCGGCTGTTTTTCTTTTCTTATAAATATCAGGCATTTCGTAACTTTACTGGCTTCAAGTGGTTCACTTCAAGTTGAAGACTTTGAATTCACATGGCAATTTTTTGGCCATTTCAATGGGAAAAACAGAATGAAAATGTGGTCGGTTGGAAAAACGGAATGCCTATTGCTTGATTTATATTTTATTTCTTTTTTTTTAGTTCGAAAAATGAGCGAGTGGCTGTGTTTATTAGAAAGTTTATATGCTCAATTGGCCGTTAAAATTTTTTCTACCGGTTTCTTTCATTTTTTCTTCTTCTTCTTTTCTTCCTTTTGGGCTTTTCATGTTTCGAAATATAAGGCATTTTTGATGTAAATTAAGTTATCCGTGTACTGAATTATGATTTATGGAGAATCGCAATATGCACTTAAATCACTGACAAAGTGAGAGAGAGAGAGAGAGAGAGAGAGAGAGAGTGAGAGCGCCTGTTGTTATTCGGATTGCGTACCGCCCGCTCGTCATTCAATCGAAGCGAGCATGAGAAAGTGAACATTTCGTGTCCATAGCACAATACAAATAATTCATCGTTCATTCGAATCGTTTGTACAGTGAAACCCAAATGATGGGAATCATTCATGGTATGTTGGTTGTACGCTCAAGTACATGTAGCGGATATTGAATTTTAGTCGCTGTGAAAACCTCATTTTCTCTCTCCATCACTCGCTCTCCGTTTCTCCCTCTCTCCCTCTCTCTCTCTCTCTATCTCTTTTTCAATTGCATCGAAAATCGAATCGAACATTTACTTTGATCGAATCGACTGAGTGAGTGAGTGAAGCTGGTCGTATCAGATCAGCATAATAACATTGATTCGATTATCGCATTTAACGGTTTTGATTTCATTGCATTTCCAAACAAAACTCCATCGTTTCAGTGCCGGCACAGTTCGATTATGAAAATTGAAATCGATTAATCCATTTAACATGAATAAATATCATTGTGGCACATTTGGCTGCGTCAGCAAATTTTGGATTTGATAGCAGAGGTATATATGTATGTAGGTTGGAACGGCTGAAAATCGCTATTGGGCTCATTTCAAATTGAAGGAATGGAAAAATATTCAAAAGGAGGAACAATCTAATCACTTACATGCTTGGATATCTAAGCGTATTTGGCTCGAAGGAATAGCACAAATGCGCGCTAACAGTGAATAATCAGGTGAATGCTCAAAGAGAGAATTCTCACCCACACATACACACACAAAGAGAATCCGCACCGGACCAACTCAATTATGCCTAATTCTTTTCGGCTTTGATTTGCTGAGTGCGTCAATCTTTAAGTGAAAAAGCACTTACATTTTTTCTCTGATTTTATTCGTCCATCCTTCCACGCGTACAATAATATTTTATGTTTATTCAAACCGTTTTTTGGTCGGTGGAAAATTGAAAGCATAGTTTAAGTAATATGTCAACGAAATTTTATCCAAACAATGGTCCATTGAAACTATGTATTTTCATTTCTGTTTTTTTTTTCATCTTTCGAATATCGAGAGAATTCCAGTTTTTTTTAGCATGCCTTACGACAGATACAACTAACCGAGAGAAAAATTGGTCCTTCTTATAAAAGAAATATTCCATCGAATTATGCTCAAGCTGCAGTTACAAAATAACAGTTGGCTGTCGCCGCTTTCACTGCTGCTGGGGTTGCCGTTTGCAGAAATGAAAAAAGGATCAAAGCGCACACAGATAAAATATTAAATCAATTTCGGATAAGGGACAAGGCCGAGCGAAAGAATGATCCCGGGAATAGTGAGGACGAGGCAATTCGATGGAAAAAAATTTTTTCAGTTGTTGAGCTTTTGTGTCTGACATGATTGACATTTATCCAAGACGTTGCTTCGCTTCGTTTTAATAAAACAATCAATATGTCAAACATGATAATGCTTCGACGGAATAGAGACGACGGGGCAATCTATCTAACCCATAATAGTAATAAATTGTGCCGAAATACAAAAACGAGAAATCACCATTATACGGACACAGCAGCACCACCACTACCATCCCAGTCGCTCTCTATATTTTCTTTTGGCGGCTGTTTGTTGTACCTCTTTAGTGTTGGCAAAATGTGAGAACATTGTCACAAAGAACAAACAAATCAGAAAGAGAAAAGAAAGAGTGTAAAATTGAAAATGTCATGTGTTATGCACACGAATGGATCGCCTTGGTGGACACAATATCGCCTTGGTGAAATGAGTATGCATTTAGAAACGATGAACAAACAAAAATGGGGTTAAAATTGGGTATGAACGCAAACTTGTCGAAATTCCATCTTTTTTCTCATTATTTCGAAGCTTTGATTGGCTTTCATCAAATATGTAATAATCAAAATAATCAGAACGTACATCGCCATCATCGCTACTTCCATCAACCACATCAAACGATGAATAACCGTACCAAGCACTTCACTTATCCAATGTGAACTAACTTCAAAGCCACAAATATGTACGCACACAAAGAGGGTGCATATATTTGATTTTTAGCTCGAATTACACAACCAATCCAACGTTCACATCCATATTAATATTAGTTTGCATTGTTATTGGAATAGTTGATGGGTTGGTAAGCGATCCGCTCCATTAATAATAAATGGCCGATAGAGACAGCGAGTAGTTTGTGTTTGGTTTCCCAAATCATTGGTACGCATCAAATTATGAACACTGTCAATTTAAGCAGCGTAAACCGACTAGCAAAAATGAGACCGCGCACCGCACACTCCAACCCCACAATGCGTACGCGTTCACAGTAATATTCAGTCGTTTCAAATGTTCAAAGTAATTGAATTTCTATTATCTTTTCCGTCCATACGCTTCGACCAATCGTCGTTAAAATTGTTTTTCAATACTTGTACGGTATGCGGTGTACACGAATTGGCCGTGAAGTGAATTGCTGAAACTAATATCGGAACGAAATGGAAGTGTGTAATAAATGCGGACCGAGGGAATTTCAAGTATATGCTCTCTCTCACCTGAGTTCAAATCCGTCTGCGTTCTCTATGTTGTGGTTGTTATTATTTTGACTGCGACGATTACTACTGCTGCTGCTGTCGCCGATATTTTCATTCGAATCATCATAAAAGCTGTTTGTTCCACTGCTACTGCTACCATCGTCATCGTTGCGGTCATTGTTCTTCACCTCTCTCAGCACATTTTGAATGATTTCATCGATATCGGAACGCGCGATAAATTCCGACGTTAGGCTATCACGTAGCTGAACTATATCATTGGCTCGATTGATGTAAGTAAACAATAACACGGCTATCGTGCAAATGCACACAAATAACGTGGCAAATAACAAATAAACGCTAAAAATTGATATTTCATTTAATTTATTTTGATTATTTCTAATGCGATTTTGATTATTTAGATGGTCGGGCCGACAATGATGTTGTTGTTGTTGACGGCATTGCTGTGTATTGTCAATGTATTGATGATGCTGCTGTTGTGACGACAACGAACGTTGGTCGGCCGTCGTCGTTGTCGTCAATTGTTTGTGTTGTGGTTGCAATTGATAATTCGATTTCAATGTGGTGGGCTCGCTTTCATCGGTGTCGGACAATGAAAACGATGGTAAAAAGCAGCAAGCGGTTGAATCGTTCGCCGGTGGATCATCATCATTGATGTTAATCGATTCGGGCTCAATAATTGTTGTTGTAATTATTTCACGCTTTCCACATTTAGAACGACCAAATATTTGATCAAATAAATTGGCTAGCATTTTTTTCTTCTAGTTCTTGTTTCGCTCTTTTGATTTGCAGCTCGGGTTCTCGGTGATGTGCCGGTGTTGAGGGTGGAACGATGTTATTGTTCTAGCTGGTGAATCCTAGAGTCTCTGGTTGTGTACTCTATAGCTGTTGGCGGCCAATTTTGATGCTTAGTTCCAAACAGTTATTTGGAGCGTGTTACTTCTACTTCGACTATTCAATATTGTTTTTGATTATCTGGTGTGTGTGTGCGCTTCGTTGATGATGATTGCAGGCCGCACACGTACAAAATTTAATAACCCTTGTATTTTATTCCCATGAAATTGCCAATAACGAATGTCATCTACAGCACACTATATTTTACGTGTCAATTCTTCAGCGGTTGGCGTTGTTATCGTTGCTTTTCGATTTCAGTTTTGTTTAATTTTATTAAATTTTTTTTTTTTTTTTGAAAATTCAATGAGCATTGACAATCGAAACCATTGAAGTCCAACGATGAAAATGGTTCATTAAAATTAACACAAACTGATGTTGTGTGACATAATTATGATGATGATTTATTTGCTCTTTGGTTAAGTGGACTCATACGTTGGTCGATTCGAAATGACACAGGAATTCCGAAAAATATATTATTTTTCTCTCTCTTTCTCCTCAAACAACACATGCAGTCAGATAAAAGTTATGACCGATAAATTTGGACGGTGGCACGACACTTGTATGCATATAAATGTTATTTTCGATAAATAAACACTCGTTTGAATTAATTATTTGATGAGTTGAATGGGGGAGAACATGTTCCAACCAGTTAATCGGAATAAATGTGATTCGGTGAAATATTTATATCAAACTCACGCGAATTGTTACGCTTTTCCTACGATTGAGCTGTCAAAACCGAAACTAAAGACCAAACATCATATTAATAACGACAATATTGTGTTGATTTCTTCTTCAAACGGATTGAACGAGAGCGTGAAAACGAATCTCGACCGAGTCACAGTCTGTGTATGTGGAAAAATGATACATCACATTTCATAATACGCGCCAAAATCGTTCGCGCTCCTCTTGTTCGGTCAAACCAAACCGTGCAACTCATTTATTTTCGCGCGTGAGCCGATAAGTGCTTAGGTTATACGTTATATTTTTAGCATTTGGCTATAAATTGTCATAAAAATAAAATAAATGAGACACATTCACAAAATTACACATCACACATATTTCACAAAGTGTTTTTTTGTTTCTCTCTTTCTCGCCACCGCAAACTTTCACAATCTTCTCTCAGTCTAATTTAATAAATCCACTGAAAAATGAATTGATTTCTCTTGTGTATCTAATATTTGGTAATTGTTTTACTCATTCTCTGCTAAATTGACGCACTTTTGCACAAAATTGAATTCGTTTTTTTTTCTCGGAAAAATTGGTTCAAATTCCCGAAGCACACAATACATGAATTCACTCAAATGTTCAGCTGTTGTTTTTACTAGTGTTTTTTTTTATTGCATGACATTAAATACGGCACTATAGAAGCGATTATATTTTCTATTTATATTTTGGTTCGTTTTCTTATTTTGCAGTCATTAAATGAAACCAAAGTTTAAGATGTGATTGACTTTCGATTCGGACGTGTGCCAAAGGTAAATGGTCGAAAAATGTCCATGCACACGGCACAACACAGTGCCAGGATCAGTCTCACGAACCGAAAAAACCAAAACACACAACAGAGATTGTCGTCCGATGAATGGCATTCATTGAATGCACACAGTGTCTCTATCTCTCACCAATCCGATACACACCGAAGAAGACAGGAGAGTGAACATGTGAATGCGAACCGGTCTCGATCTCAACTGATTGCATATACGGCGAGAGTGTAACGCGTGACGGTATCGAGTTACTGGATTGCGTTGTTCACCAGTGTTCTTTTTCATCGCTTGCAAACACATGCCCGCCGTTGCTTTTACAAATCAGTCGCTCTGTTGCTTGTTCTCATTCTATCCCACTCTTGCTCACTCCCACTCCCGTTCTCGTTCACTCGCTCAATTTGTCTGTCTCTCGTGGTGTGCTGGTGCCTACAAACGGCTTTTGAATATTTGCGCGCGCGAGATACGTTTATCAACAAGAAACAAATCATATGCTTTTCCACACGTTCAGTCGTTCGGTCGTTTTGATTCATTCATGGATTTTCACCGTTGTGTCGGCAATTTAATGTTTTGCCTTTTTATTTGAACTGATTTTGTGGACGTGTGTGTGTGTGTGAGAGAGTAAGTGAGCCAAAGTGTGTCGTTGCTTTAATTTTCATTTGTCTCTTTCGCTGTGTTCTGAGCTGGGCAATGCGTTAGTTGGCATGCTGTCGAAACATTTCCTTGCAATTGACAGAAACCAAAATTTTTGTCATGCCGTGTATTTCGATATATTTATTCTAACACACCCACTTGTTATTGTTATTCTAACACACATGTAGTGTTAACATGCATCGAATATGGTGAAAGCACAGCACAAAAAAAATCACATCGTACTTCCGGTACACACAAAAGGAATACAAACTGATCAACCGACGAAAATGACAAACAAAAACATCAACAACCAAATTCGATACTCCAAACAATTTTAAGTTTTTTTTTCCGGGTGCTTTACAACGGTTTTCTGTTTGATTTTGTTTTGGCACCAGTACACATTGCCGTCGATGAAGGCAGAGTATTGGCAAGTGTGGTTTTTCATCGAATATTTTGGTTTTATTTATTTTTGCCCATAAATTTATTTCGGCACTCGCATACACGCATGCACATTCTCCTTCCTCACTCTGGCACTCGTGCCATTCCGCAAGTATATCAACACACAGCAAGAGAGCATAGTTGCACATAATAAGCATTGTCGTGTATAATCATAATTTATGTTCAAAATTGCTATTAAATGACACCACATTAACGAACACAGAATGCGACGTAGGCAGCACGTTCATTTTTATTTTTGTTTTTCGGTTGCTCCTTTTTTGCTGCGCTGCTGTTGTTTCGTCTTTTTTGATCCCCTAATCAATAATAAGAAATTTCAGTGAAAATAAATGCTCGTCTTTTTTTTTTTATTGCAACAGTAAATTATTCGTTGATTTTCCGGCGTCGATTTCAGTAGTAGCTGCGGTCTTCATCATGTTCGGGAAGATTGATTATTATGAAGAAGAAGAAGGTAACCGAGTGTTTTTGTATCGCTATTTGCTGCAATAAATATGTATCATTTGTATTCGATTTATTCAAATGAACCACTTTGTGCTGATGACACAACACTCGCTTCTTTTTATATCCTCAGGCGTTGAAGTTCCACAGCCGATGAGCCAATTAATTTTTTGCATTTTTCATTTGCATATTGATTTCGGTTACAGAATTTGCTGAAAATATTATTCCATTCGATTTTGTTCAGCCAGTTCAGACAATGTTTTCGACAAAAGTTTTCAATTTTTATGGCCGTGAATGAATCGAAAAATGGTTCACAAAAAAATGCCAAAACAAATAAAATACCAACTGAAATTCGAATTCAAATGTATACAAAAAATAGAGTTCAAGTTTTATTCGCTAGTTTTTTCTTTGTGGAGGGAGGCAAGATTTGTTCAATTCGAAATGAAAAGCCACACTCCAAATCATAAGCTAAGCTCTAAGCATGCACTCGAATTTCTCGACGATGATTTGATTTTCCAACGAAAAACAATGATCGGAATATATTCGGCGATTTGAATTGGTTGCTTTAGAAATGCAAAGCATTTAATGCCTTCGAATGGTGCCAACTTTATGGAATTTCGTGGAAAATTCAAAATTTGTGCGAAAATAATTGAAATATTTTTTTGATATAAAAAAACAAGTCATTTCTTCATATAATGGTAAAACGAAAAGCTTTCATCGCGACAAACGGGAATGTACTGGATGCATTAATACAAATGGATTTTTGAAGAAAATGCTCGAATTTATTTATTTACCAGAAAAAATATCGCGTTTATTACACACACACACACACACAGTATACACCAACAAGTTGTGCATGTTTGAACGACAAAATATCGTATGATACTTGGGTTGATTTTAAAAATGGATGGATAAATGTGATTCGACTTCGAATAGTTTCGAATTGACTCATCCGTCACGGCGAGCGAGCGAACAAGCGAACACACCATGAATTTATCAACACGATAAAATTGACAAAATAATTTCCAATTTATGATTCAACGATTGGGCGCGCTTATGTGTACGCTTCAGATTGTTCATTTTCGCGTTGTAAACTGGTGAGCAATGTTTGGAAAATTGCGAATATTTGTTATTTTCAGTCAAAGTTTATTTGTATTATTTCGATCCGAAATGTAATTGTCGCACAACAGAATGTTTTGCGAGAAACAGATATGTATGTTCGTGTGTGTATTGTATAAATTGTCCACATTCCGTGATCCCTTCAGAGTGCAAGTGCCTGGATATGGAATATTGAGGATGAATCAAGTCGACGAAATGCGACGATTGAAAAGTCGAAAATCAATGCAAAATGAGTTACAGATTGTGAGAACGACAACAGAAAAACGATATGCAACATTTATGTGTGTACAAAACGTATTATTGCGACAAAAAGTTGTTCATCACCAATTTATTGGTGTGTATGAGTGCGTGTTATTTGTTGTGTTCGTCTTTTAATGCCGTTGAATTAGTAGTATACGGAGTGTTTCCAGGAATTTATACCGTTTTCTGCAATTCAGTTTTGCATTCAACTTTGTGTGAGCTTAAATTCGACTTACCTCTGCACCGGCAAATGCATATACTCTGTTTGAGTGTGCTGAACAATGTTCTGCACAAAATCGGATTAATATAAATGTATGAGAAAACATAGAAGGAATAAGTTGCAACAGCTAATTTCTGTCTACCTGTAATCATAGTTTCCATTCAAATTGTCGCATCCATCGGGTATTTTTTCGGCAACTTTTACAATGGAAGCGCCGTGATAATTACTAGTAATTAAAGTTGAATGTGTTTGTGGTTTGGAAATTTCCGAAAAGTTACATCGAATTGGCGGTGGAATTTGGTTACATTCTTTCTTGATTAAACATTGTCATTTCATATTTTATAATGATTCTATGACACGCTTCACACTAATGCAGTTAATGAATGGATGGGGCATCAGTGAGCATTTCCACTCATCATGAGACGTAATCGCGTTAACTTATTACCGATGAAACTTTTATATGGTTCCGGTTTTTTGCTTTTAAGTGAGAATTTTTTCAACGAAATAGTGCACCGAGAGGATACCCACCCTATCTCTCTCTCTCTCTCTCGCTCAGAAAAGGAGTTTGAGATGTAAAATCGGTATTCTGTTGCACTCATTCAATGCACATTGATTTATTCGCTGCAATTAGTTATGATAAGGTTGAAAGATTCAAATTCCCCCATTGTGCTCCGAGGAGCGTGTATGTGTGTGCTACTGCTGATGTGCATGTAAATCAGGATGTGTGACTAGAAATCGTTGAACGGGTGAAAAACGAAACCGAGTCTCACAACAATAAACAAGTGAATTAAATTCAATTATACAACAAGAGGATGCTGCTGCTGTTGCACGGAAGACGTTGTGTTTCATTGGCATGTCTGTGCTGCTCGGTTCCAACTGCTAACCGAATTCAATGTTGTCATTTCATCGCCCAGATGCGTTCTTCCCCCCCCGAACAATTGTCAGATGTTCTTCTTTGCACAAGCCGAGCAACAAAAAAAACAACACCAACAGCACGACCAGAAGAAGAAGGTAGAGTACATTAATTCGAAGAGATCAAGGAGGTTGAGAGGGTATCAGAGGGGAAGAGAAAAAGAGAGAATGAGAGAGGACAAGCACAATAACATAAAGCCAATGGAAAAATTCATTCGCTCTTTCTCTATCCATCTCCAACTCAGAACATACACACTCCCTCTGTATGTGTGTGTGTGTGTGTGTGTGTGTGTTTATGCGCCATATTTTGCCATGATTTATTTGTCATCATCACACAATGCCATAATCCCAAGCGAAAGAAAACGTAAACGAAATGGCTTGGCAAATATTGTGCACCTGCACCATTGGCGAAGGATATAGAGATAGAGAGAATGAGTATCCGAACGAATGCCAACTGGAACCCATACCCACAACACTAACAATATCAATAATAAAAATCATTTTTGATGCAGATTCTAAGGAAAAGTCCCAGTAATTCGGTTTTCAGTTTTGACATTGATTTCTATTCCATTCGCCTTTATCAGACTCACTCAACTCCATTTTAATCGGCTTTCTCTTGAAGCAGCTCGCACTTGATTTTTCCCGTTATCGTTCTCTATCTCACACTCTCTCCGTCTCTCTTGGTCTCTTTTATTCTCTTTCATTCCCTCTCTACAATCTGTCTCACTATCATTCTGAGCCACAATTCTCACAGCAACTGCTAGTGAATTATGGTTTTACGTCGGAATATTTGTGCTCTTTGCAAATTTTATCATTGCAAGTAAGAGAATCTGAACTGCAAGCCCATACTGTTGATGTGGAGATGAAAAAATGCAACTTTTGTCATTTCCGAGTGTGACAAGTCGAATTTTACACCATTTTAACATTCCTCGACACAATATTCATCAAAAACCCAACCGTAGCAATACATTTTTCCACCGAAAAATGGGTATCAACGAAAAAAAAATCCACGAGGAGTGAAAGCTTCAAATATTTAACGAATAATCACATCAATGAGTCAAATTGTTTCTTTCCGCCGATGATAAATTGAAAACGAAAAAAAAACACAACGTCTAGACGATTTCCATTTACAGTGGGGTTTGCCGTATATTTACAATTCACAATCAATCCTCAAATACCATTCCGGATTGGCTCTCATTGTGAAATGATTGTGAAGGGAGATGTTTCAGCCATTTCCAATGTATCTACCGACAAATAAAACGCGATAGATAAAACATATGGAGATAATTTTTTTTTATCGACTTCCAAAGTTATGCGTCACACCGTGTGTCGAAAAACGCCACAGTTGAATTGAGTTTTAACCAATGGAATGCTCAATATTTTATTAAATAAATTGGGGGTGAGAGTGTTGATTCAAAGAGATTAGCTGCATCAATTTAATAATGAATGGTTTGTGTGTGGATTTTCCAAATCAGTAATCAACTTTGTGCACAATCAATCAGCTCTATGATTCAAACTATGAATACACTCATGCTGAATTTATTTGGGAATTTTTCATTCCCTCAGTGCAAATTTATCGCACATCGAGGCGATTGATGAAAACCAATTGACGCCGCACTCGTAATAAAATTCTATTTCAATTCGATTTCATGCCAAAAAGTTGATTTAATTGGGGAAAATTGGGGTTGTGTGCCGATACTTCGAAGCGGAGAGCGTTAGCTCTCTAACTCTCTCTCTCTCTCTCTCTCTCTCTATTTCTCTCGATACCGTTAATAATCCGATTGATTGAAGAGTATTCACACAAATAATGTAAAACATATAATTAAATTAAAATTCAATTTTGTAGTTTTTGGGACAAAAGGAATACTCTCCGGTTTCACATAGCCCAGAATATTTGAAAATATTCATGTATGTGGCGTGAATCCGCACACATATACATTGAATTTTTTCACATCGGTCTTGTTTAATTGAAAAATGTTAATAAGCTAAATTTTCTGCGGCCGTCATCGCTTATTGCGCGATTTCAATATCTCTCTTTCTCTATGCAGAAATTGTGAGCGTGTTATTCGTGGCGGTCGTTTCAAAGGAAAATTCAATTATTCACCATCTGCCCATGATGAAATTTTATGGTTTTGGCAAAGCGCATCTCGTGTGTGTGCAACAAGCGTAACCGCTCAATCATTTCCATAGTTTAAAACACAAACCAAAAGCATTTTATTCATCATTTATATATCACATGCGTAAATTGAAAATAAAAATAATCTCGCAATTTTTTTACAGATCTGTTGCATGCAGACCTTTTTCATGGTGGTCATTCTGCGGTTCACAGATAATGCTTTTTGTATGTGTTTATATTCATCGCGAGCACGTTAAACGTTGAATATGTGCAATAGATGTGAATGTTAAACTGAATTTTACCTTCTAAATAACCAATTGGATATTTATTCGAAGAGTTTTTATCGGCCATTTTCACTAGATGGCATCACTCGCACGGCCAAATGTCACCAGTCACGTGTATCTCTGTATAACAGTTTTTTTCATCAATGAATTGTGTATATGATTTTGACATTTGGATGGTTCCTGTGCCCGTGTAATAACAGTAATAATGTCCAAATGCCATTTTTTTAACAATAAGAATTTCAATAGTGAAATTAGAATTGTTGCGGTGTATTGGACACGGTGAATGTGGTCGGCCAGCTGTCAATATTGGTGCGATTCACATGGTTTGTGTGATCCGAAATTGGAACATGTAATCGCAACAACACATAAGCAAATGTTGTAATTGTTGTAAATATAATACCAAGTAAAACGGAGTGACTCAATGTGGTGACCGACCTAACCGAATCATTCACATACGTCAAACGAAAAAAAAAGTCCAAGTAGTGCGCTGTGATGATTTGAATTTCGCACATCGGCCGCGAACTTTTATCTATCAAATTCCATCGAATCGTACATCAGAAAGCCGACTGAACGCAACACAATCACATGTTTTTGGCGACAGACTTAAAGCAAAACGAAGAAGGAGAAGAAGACGAAACGAAAAAAGCAAAATCTAAATCGGCAAATTGCTTGTGAATTGCGTGAATGTGTACGTGGTTGACAACAAACGAATATCGACTGAAAAAGAAACTCGTTTTTTTCGTCGACCGAGTGTAGTATGTGGACATTTCATGTTGTTGTTGTCGTTGCTCGTTTTTTGAATTGAATCAAGTAAGAGAAAGAAGGAAAAAGAAAATAGTGGCGATCGCGGAAACGAAATACCGCTACCAGTTATCGTACGTTTGATCAATCAATATATCGTCGCTGACCCAAAACAAAAACCAAAAATACCACGAGAGAAATAAAGAAAAAAAAAAACCCGAAAAAGTGTGTGACATGAACAAAAGAGAGACCGAAAGCAGCGGAAGCGAAATGAAATGAAAATCAATAGAAGATGATCAGTGAAATTGAAACGAGGCCCACTCTCGGCGGTAGCGGTTATGCAAATCACCAAATGAATATCATGTTATCAACGTCGTTCCTTTTTTCGTCATCGTTGTTGCTCGGCATTTCTATAGAGTTATTGTGATCGGAAGTTTTGTCAGTGGATTTCTCGTTTAGGCGAGAAAACGACGATTGACTGTTTTGTGTCGATTTTATTTCTCTTTATTTGAAGAAAAGAAGAAAAAAAAATCCATCGGTGGTGCGGTTTCGTGTGTAAATATTTGAGTAATAATCGGACAGTCAAAGACACGAGAGAAGAGAAAAAGAAGAAGAAGAAGCAACCAGAGAATACAAACAGAAACAGAGAAATAGAAAAAGTGAGTGTGAGTGAAACGAAATAGAAGACGAACAACACTTGAAACGTACACCGCGAGTATAATGTGAATGAGAGACGAGAAGAAAAAAGAAGGCACATACAGTCGAGGCAGGCCACACACTGCAAGAGCACACGTCGAAGTGGTTAACATAAGAAGAAGAAGAGAAGAAAAAAAGTCCGAAAGAAATTTTTTTTTTGTTCGTTGAATTAAAAGTAGTTCACGGTGATTGAAACACGATTCAAGAGATCAGTAAGAAATATTACTTGAACGTGTTCGGATCATTACAAAATCGCATTTCTTCTTCTTTGCTCCATCTCACTCTTTCTCTCTCTCTCTCTCTCACAACACACACACACACAGAGACGGACAGTGACACACACGCGTCGTGATTGACTTTTACTGTACTGATTTTGGAATCGTTTGCATATTTTTATAGTGTGAGCTATCGAATTTCGAAAAGTTTTTTTTCGGTAACAAATACACACATCAACCGAACAACAACAACAAAAACCATTCAACGCCTATTGAACATTTTACAACTGAATGCACGCCTGTTTTTCTGTCAGTTACAACAACTCATTCCCCGTTTTTCCTGCATTACATTCGGAGAAAGAGGGAGAAAGAAAGAAAACGAACTCAATTCATATTGCGCTATTTTAATGACATTGGTGAATTGGTGTGCGTGTGCAAAACAACTACATACAATCATACACAATCGTCTAATTTAATTATTCCATTTCGTAATTTGGCACTTGTGCTGTTTGTTTTTTTTTCGGGGAGTAAGCCTAAGTGAACTGAGACACAACACATAACACATTATCAGTCACATTCTCACATATTTTCATGTTTCAACGAGAAAGTTAAAACGCGGTGTTGATTTATTTGCAAGTCGTAGTCGTTGCTGGAAATTCAGTTTGAAAAGTGCGTTAACTGAAAATCAGTTACAAATCAGTTTTTGGACAAAAAACAGACACACACACACACACACACACACGTTGTGCAGCAGCGAAAGAAGAAGAAAAACACATTGTGTGTGGGACCGACAGAAGAGACGCTTTGAATTATCTTCAAGTGGATAATAATCAACAAATCATTCAATCGATTCGTGTTGATTGCGTGCAATCTAAACACACAGTCAGCCAGCCAGCCAGCTTGCCAGCCAACAGAAAGCAGTAGTCGCAGTAGCGCAAAACTACAGCAGCAATCAGTAGCAGCGGTAAAACAGCAGCGCAACGAACGAACTATTTCAGAAAAAAAAACCTCTCTTCGTTTGGATTGAGTGTTGTCTTGTGTGAGCATTCAAAGTATACCTACGAACAACAACAACAACAGAAAATCAACACACGCGATTATACAAACATTTTTCATTTTTTTTTTCAATTGATTTATATTTATTTTTGTGTGTGCAAAGTATTCACGAGTGAACAATACACACTTATCCGTTGGTTGCACCACGTAAATAGAAAGTTTCAAAGGCAAAGGTGAAAGTTATTTTTTTTCGTTGTTTCTTTTCATATGTATATATGAAAAACGTGAAATTTACACACAAAATCAAAAAAATAAAACTCGTTTTTTTGTGTGTTAATGAGACGGTCGCTGACTTAAACACACACACACACACATATACGCCAACGGTGATAATCAGAAGGAGAAAAACGTTTAGTCACAATTTCGTTGTATCATCGTCATTATCAATAACAACGTTGCTGCTGCCGCTTGTTGGATATAGTTTCAGTACACAAGTAGCGTGAACATTAACTAATTGGGTGATCTGAACTCTCGTAGCCACATTTTTGCAAATATCGCTATTCAAATTAAATCGCATTTTTTTTGCTGTCATCGTTGTTTCTAAGTGGAATTGGAGTGTAACATACAGAAGATCAAAAAAAAACATAAACATGATGTCAAAGTGGCCGGAAAAAGTTGGAATTTTGGCGATTGAGCTGATTTTCCCATCGCAATTCGTCGATCAAACGGAATTGGAAATGTTTGACGGTGTGTCAAGTGGCAAATATACGATTGGATTGGGACAAAGTCGTATGGGTTTCTGTTCGGATCGTGAGGATATCAATTCGTTGTGTTTGACCGTGGTGAGCAAATTGTTGGAACGTAATAATGTTGCGCATGCACAAATCGGTCGCCTGGAAGTTGGTACCGAAACGATCATCGACAAATCAAAAAGTGTAAAATCCGTGTTGATGCAATTGTTTGAGCCGCATGGTGTGACCGATTTGGAGGGTATTGATACGACAAATGCATGCTATGGTGGCACAGCCGCTCTGTTCAACGCCATCAATTGGATTGAATCGAGCAGTTGGGATGGTCGTTTGGCATTGGTTGTATGCGGTGACATTGCTGTTTATGCCAAAGGTTCGGCTCGACCAACGGGCGGTGCTGGAGCTGTTGCCATGCTCATCGGTCCAAATGCACCAATTGTTTTCGATCGTGGACTTCGTGCATCCTACATGAAACACGCGTATGATTTCTACAAACCCGATTTGAGCTCCGAGTATCCAACGGTCGATGGAACATTATCGATCAAATGCTACTTAAGCGCACTCGACAAATGCTATCAATTGTATCGCGAAAAGTACGATAAACTGCATCCAAATGCACCAACTGGCATTTCATTGAATTCATTCGATGCAATTCTATTCCATACGCCATTCTGTAAGCTCGTACAAAAGTCATTGGCACGTTTGGGTTTCAATGACTTTTTACAAACATCGCCAGCCAAACGTGACACACTGTATCCGGGCTTTGAACGTTTCGACGAACTCAAATTGGAAGACACATACTTTGATCGTGATGTGGAAAAAGCCTTTATGACCCACTACAAAGAAGTATTTGACGCCAAAACAAAACCATCACTGTTGCTGGCCAATCAAGTTGGTAATATGTATACGCCGTCCGTGTACTCGGGCCTCGTTTCATATTTGATTAGTGGCGATGCCAGTGAATTGGCTGGCAAAAATGTTGCCTTATTTTCATACGGTTCGGGTTTGGCATCATCATTCTATTCGATAACGTTAAGTGATAATGAAAGCCAATTGCGTACGGTCACCGATAAATTGGCCCACATAAAGCCATTGCTGGAGCAACGACAAAAGCTATTACCCGAAGATTTTACGCGTTTGATGGAGATTCGTGAGCACAATAACCATGCCGCACCATATGTACCCAGCGGCCGTATTGACGTTCTATTCCCGGGAACATTCTACCTCCAATCGGTTGATGAAATGCATCGACGTGTCTATGAACGTGTACCAACCGATCTGTAATTATCATTATTATTATACTTTGTTATACTCAATATCCATTTATGTTTGTATCTCTCCCTCTTTCTATCACATACACACACTCTGTCTCAATTGCCTCTATTTCATTTTGTTATTTCATAATATTCAACCATTATTTCTGTTGAAGAAAAAAGAAACAAACAGCCGGACTTGAAAACAATGAAATAAAATTCTCTGTATTTTTCAAAATATTATTCAATCGATACACTGAGCATTATAAGACGAGGGATCACATACACATTTATTTAATTCAAATTATTTGAGTTTTTTTTTTGTTTAAACAAAAGTATAAATTAATATTTAGCTTGTACCGAATCGATGTAGAAAATGAAGCAGCAACAACTGACAAAGTGAATGTATACATTTCAATCAATTCGAATCGAGTTTGTCATATTGCTTTTTTAGATATACACTTTTTGTACACAACCACACGCTTTGAGTATGATGCGTTTCAGTTTAAATGTATAAGTTTGAGAAATCAAAACGAAGAAATAAAAGACAAATAGAGAGTAAATATTGTAAATCGAAGAGAATACGTTGATCTTCTGAGAAGCAGCATATTTCAAAAATCGAAAGGGAAAAATAGAAAAAAAAATATATCAAAAGCTCGTGGCAGATTTCAAAATGAAAAAAAAACACACATTTATACCTGATAAATGAATAAATAGATATGTAAAATCAAATAGTTAAAACCGATTTGAAATTATTTATCGAATGGAAACGATTGTGACGGAAATTTGGATTTATTCTCTCTCTCTCTCTATCTCTCATCTGTTTGGAAATGGACACACAAATCACATGGCACCAATCCACCCGAAAAAAATATATATTTGTTGAATGAATGCAAAAGAGATAGAAATCAATTTGGATCTGAAAGCGATGACCACTCCTTAGTCATATTATTCACACATTCACACACACACACACAGAGCGAAAGAAATACACATTCTTCGTCAGTTAATGAGCTTCAAACGTACATATTCTCACTTTCTCTCTCACTCACTCTCTCTGTTCTTTTCCTAGGGGAATATCACGCTTAAATTATTTCAAATATTTCAAAAGAATCCAATTTATCTCTAAGAATCTGTCGTATGAAATATGGTGGATATTTGTGAATACGGCGGAATATTGTGGATTTTTGTGATTATGAATGATATTTAAATGTATTTATTTGGATTTAATGCAAGAAATCTCAAATATCTCCAAAATCCACAAAAATCTGATTTATTTATTCGAAATATTCGAAAATATGTCATACAATTGATGTTTATTTCAAATATCTCAAATACCTCACAAGATTCAGGAGCGTGATATTCCCCTAGTTCTTTTCTAAATCCACGTTATGTTGAATGGTTTTTTTTTGCCTCTCTTCTTACATTCTTTCACACCTTTCGAATTAAACCGAGTTTGTAATCTTATGGTAATATATATTTTTGTTGTTAATTTGAGCGATGTTTTCTTCTTCTCTGTATTTTGTTAACGAAAAGAAGGATATTTAAGCGTGAATTGTATTCAAGTCGTCAAGCCAAAACTTACTATGGAATTATTAATCTATTTTTTGTCGAAACGGAAGAAGCTACAATTATATGTCAGAGATTGTTGTCAATTGAGATACGAAAACACTGAAAAAGATAGAACAAAAAATACGCATACAGTTCAATGAGAAATTTTATTTTATTTTGTTGAAAGTACAGATAAATCTCGTGTATCATCTCCACTTGTATTGTTTTTTACATTGAAGGGCGTTGCATGCACCTTAACATTCACAATACAAACTCAATGCGAGTGGAGACGCCTCATGAAAAATGGCACAGATTGCTAGTGCTAAGGTTTATCTGTACTTTCTTGAATATCGACACTGGATAAAAATGTTGATATTGCTCATAAGATCTAGATTATTCGACGATAAATATGATCGCTATTACGTCTAAATACAATTCAATCGATATTTGCAAATAAAAATCAATAGAGTTAATGACACTTGACATCGATTTCCATTCAAATCGTGACAATAATTACCAGCCACTCATTAGCGAACATTACCGGATATGTGTACGGTACACAATACGCGTACAAGAATGAAAAACAATTTAGCGAGAAAAAAAAATCCCTACAATCAAATGGAACAAGGTTTAATTGAGATGCAATATTTTTCACTGCTAGCTATTAAAGTCATAGACGAAAAACGAACAAGAAGAAAAAAAACAGAAAAGCAACACAAATCATAGGAGAGGCGATTAAATGATGTTATTTTTAATAGAATTGACAATTGTACGATCGAACTCAATTACATATACGAATAAAGTGGAATAGAGATGAAATAAACCAGATCTGTTTGCATGAATTCGTCTTTCTTTTTCTTCTTCGGTTTCGTTTTTCGTGTTTTTGATGCGCATTTTTCGCACATTTCACCGTTTTAACCTTCAAACCGTGAAATGGGCACTGTGTGCCCAAAACCAACTTTGAATGTTTAAAACTTAATTATTTCTTATCATAAATTAATGAAATAACTATGGTTCGATTCGTTGAACATTTGGCTACAAAAATTAGTTTGACATACCCACATACGCGCACTAGCTTACCACATATGCGCGTAAACATGTGTGATGCCCTATACGTGAAATGGGTGCCTGAGTGCCCATATACATTTTTCGACAAATTGCGTATATAAAATTTAATGTGGGAACTATGAAATATGCATCGCTGGAAAGATCTTGAAAAGTACATGTAATTTGAGCTATAAAACATCAAAATCGATCATCATTTTATCAAAATATGGCCATTTTATCAATTTTGGCCAAAAAATTCCAACGATCAAATATTGGCCAAATGCCGGCCTATTTTGAAGTTTTATATCAAAAATGGAATCTAATTTTCAAGACCTTCCTAATGATATATTCTCTGACTGCATTCTCTTCGCAAAAGACGCACCATGGGCGGAATTAATGCCGTATTGGGTCTCTGACCAGCATGTCCTCAGCTTGCTGGGAACACATATTGGCATAAATGTAGGCTTCGTAATAAATAAACAAATAAATATACATAACTTTTTGATCCAACCTGCCGTTCAAAATCTCAATTTTTGACGTCAAAATCGGCCATAGTGGAATTTGTATGTAAACGTTTTTGCCTTCATTTTTGTGAAGAGATCAACATTGCAATCTCCACTTTATTAAAAAAAAAAATTCAAAAAAACTTGCTGTTGTCTTTCATATTTCGATTTTTTATGACTTTTATCACATTTCAAAGTGATTTTCATACTTTTCCGATCAATAAATACTGAAATATTTACATTTATCGCAGTACATTTAAAAATAAAAATTCAAGAAAAAACTGACATTTCCCTTTAAAATGCATTATGGGCACTCAGGCACCGGTATAACGAACAACGTTAGAAAATAGGTTTCACGGTTTGAAGGTTAAGGAGTGGACGCGCGCGCAATTTAGGGAGGTCTTTGACGAGATTCAAGTACATATTTGAACTGTAATACATGCATTTGCCGATGATTCAAGACAAGAAGGAAATGTGGTAAGGTTTGTATTGTTTCTGCCTCTCTCTCTCTCTCTCTCTCTCTCTCTCTCTCTCTTTCTCCCTGTGGCCCGCTGTTGTTAAAAATATGTAGTGTTACGTGCTTTTCAATGGGCCAAACCATTAGGTAAGTTTCTACGATAATCAATTTTATAGCAAATAGCAACAAAAGCAACAAAAAGAAATTCAAAGTTTTAGTTTTTGTACATGCACGCGGAAGCACCCCACTTCAAAACGAACAAAACAAAAATTATCGAAGTCCATTTGTTGCACTCAAATGCGACTCTTATCGAAATAGTTCGCATGAGTTATTCCACATTGAATTTATGGAAAGTCTTTTTTCTAAAAAAAAACTGATTACTTGAAGAAAAAAATGGAATTTCATTTTTTTTGAAAACCCAACACACATGAAAGTAATTCGCATTCGATGGTTTTTTTTATTACGGCATTAGTGTTCTTCATCGCCAATCGACAACACAAACACAGCCAACCCATCGAACGATTTATTTACAAAGTTGCAAAGCGAAGCACAAACACATTTAATTTCAAACGAAATTGCGATTGAATGAAAGAAAGAACATGGCTCGTTTTTTTCGAATACTTTTTGACGTCATCGGCTATTAGTTACATTTCTCAATGAGTGTTCGCTACTCCAAAACATCACAACAGATGAGAAAAAGAACATGCTCTTTTCATATTGAAATACACATTTCAACAACAAAAAATCCTGTAAAATGAATCTGGTTGATAAGTATCGTGTGCTGAAAATGAGATGCAGCGCCAGTGAAAAGAAAAGGTTCACACAAATCAAATTCCATGTGATTGAGCTATTTTCCATTTGAATTTCGTAAGTAAAGTGATCGTCATGAATGACTGGTGATAGTGAGCTAACGAAGCGGACGTTTTTGTTTACATTTTAAATCGAACAACGTAGTGGAAAAAAATATCTTAACAAACAGATGACCACAGTGCGAATGAAGTCTTACAAAAAAAAAGAAAAGAATTTTAGCAGCAGAAATCTCGATGCCATTGTATCAATAAATAGAAAGAGATGCGAGGTTTTTTTGTGTATCTTTGTAGGTCATTCGGGTGGCGAAATGTATTGAGAAATGTCATACAAACATTTCATTCTTCGACCGGCAATCAATTTGCGATCTTTGCTGGACATGTCCATTCAATTTAGAATTTTTTTTTCTTCTCTTTGCAATTCAAATAGAAAACTATTTACTTTAATTTTTAATAGTAATTTCGGTTTCACATCCATGACGGGGTTGTCTTCGGGTGAAGAGATGGAACATTTATTGATGTTACTCAATCAATTTTTAAAATTCCATTTGGCAAATGACCGAAAATAAAATTGGATAAACGACTGATTGCAAATGAAAACAATGTCGATTGTTTTTTTTCAACTGGCTTAGGTCAAATTGTGGCCTTCACTCAACAGGTATGCATTTTTGGAATTCCCAAATTTTAACGACGATAAGCGTAAGTAGCAAACAATTACCAAATCATTGTAAATAAAAACGTAATCGGCTTTGCTGGATGCATGTTCGTTATTACGGAGAGGCTTGCCGCTTTATTGGTCATCATGGAAATATGGTCATTAATTGGTCATTTGTTCAAAATTCGAGTGTCTCTTGCTAATTGATAAACTAAAAATTTCGTTCATGATTGCAATCATTGGACATGGCACCGCTCAAATAGAAAGTGGCCAATTCTATTTTTTCTGAATCAAAGCCAAAACAAACAAAAAACACAAATGTTTGCTGCGGCGAAAAAAAAACTGTAATCTTGTTTGTAACCAAAATAACCACTTTAGTAGAATGATGTCTACGATTACGTTCCAAAGGTGACGAATTATAGCGATTCGATTATCTTCTTGCTAATATTCAACCGATTCAAGGAAATGTTTTGTCTACTCGCACTAAAAGTCGTGAGTGGTATTCGTTGATTTTGCAATTGATTGTTGAATCAAAAGTGTGTACGCTGTACGTACGCGTCTTTGGCTAAATGTGTGTGTATGTGAGCAGATGCAATTTCCTATGCCGTTTTTTTTTTTGATAAGAGTGAAAGAGATTCAGCAATTCCATTTGAATGTTGCACTGATAATTGATAGATAATGTCAACTCTCCGCTTGTTCATTCATAGATCATTCATAATTTGATGATAACATTGCAGAGTCGAAAAGTCTACGGCAAATGGTAACAAAATTGATTGATTGGTTGTTTTTTGGTTGAAAATATTAATCATATAAATAAAACTGACCCATCGAATATGCGATACGAGAGACCGTTTTATACTTGAAATGGATTTTTCAATGTTATTGATTGCAAAAAAAAGCAGACGGTTTATTGTGTGCTTCTGCGAAAGCTTTTCATAAACAACTTTCGTTCGTTTCATTGTCGATAGATGACACTAGTAATGCATATAGAGAACGCGCAAACAGAGGAAATGAATGTTTTATCTTGAGTTGGGACCGAGTTCAAGTGGTTTATTTGCAAACAAATAATTATCGCCTTTTGAAAGTAGCACACAATTGCTTAAAATATCCTATACGAAAGTCAAATTCAATCTCAAGTTGATAAGATTTACTACTTTCATCTTTGCAACAACAAAAAAACAAATAATCTAATGGGAACAAAAGTCTGAAGTGTTCTTTTCACAAGTTTATTTGCGAATAATTTGTTAAAATTTATGAGGACAAATGTTCGAATGGAAATAACCGTTATTCCGTTTGGCTGTGACCAGTTATTGGATTGGTGTGAACTTGTAGAATTGAACACCTGTTCAAAAATGAAAACAAAAGACATGTAAATTATATATTCAAATCATGAAAAACAATCGCACAAGCTTTCACCTGAGGGATTTACGCGAACCGTTATATTGGTATTGGTACGGAAGATATGATCAAAATCATGATCTTCATCGAACAAATCCTATGTATGTGATTGGAATTAGTAAACGATAGGCGATCAATTATGTAAAATAACCAACTTACAGTCACTTCATAGCCTTTATCATATGTCAATCCCAGATCTTTCAATTTCGAACTATACACGCATGGAGAGCCATCATCACGCTTGCTAGCCCATGCAACTGCATACGAGTGTGCACCGTTGATGATTGGATTTATCGGACGCACCCAAGTCTATAGGATGTTCAAATAGTGATTTACTTTGGATTTCATGGAATATTGACATTTTTGCATACCTCAATTTTGCACTCCACACGAAGTCGAGAGCCTTGTATGCCCAGCGCATCTTGATTCACATCGATCACGTTTTGATTGATTAGAATTTCACGGAATTCGGGGCGAATGTTTTTCAAATCGGTTGACATTAGCAATGGCGCAGCTAATATGGCCCAAATCGCCATTTGCGATTTACTTTGGTCGACTGTCAAACCATAGTTTCCAATTAGCAACTGTGAGAGAGGAAAAAAAGAAGACATTTAGCAACTTTTTCTCATTCGATTTGTTTTAAATTAAAACTTTCAAATTCAAAGTTTACCATATCTGGGTCGTTCCAATGGCCAGGTCCTGCATTTGGTTGAATTCGTGATGCATTCACCGCGAAATATTCGGTAATTTTATTGAGTGATTCATATGAATCTTGAATATCATCCCAGTTTCTCCACAAATTGCAATGCTTCTTCAAAGCCTCGTAGTTTGGCTAAACGGAAAGATTTTTGTACTCATTAGTATGTTTGGAAATTAGTATGATAATAATGAAGATACAATAACAAATGGAAGTAAATCATTCAACGGAGGGAAAATCGGATGTAAATGTATTCATACCATCAAACCCTTTTCTTCTTGGTAAACGGGCCACGAGCAACTGTACACCATGGGGCGACCGGTTTCATTTAACAATCTTCCAAATTCCGGGTAGCCTTTGTTCATGTCCATAATATCCGCATAACAGCCATCTAATTTCACATAATCAACGTCCCATTTGCCAAAAGTTTGTGCATCTAATTCCATGTGATTGATAACACCCGGATAACCCATACAGGTATGCGTTCCATAATCCTCATAAATGCCGAATTTTAATCCTTTCGAATGAACCTAAATTCAAAACAAATTATTCCATTTAATCCATTTCATTTTAGAGACAGTTTTTTATTCTCCTTTTTTCCGAATTTCGGCATGAAATTTTTTTTGGGTACGTTTCGAACAATTTCGAACAAAAAAAAATTTCGAACACGAACATTTGTTCAAACTTGTTCGTTCGAAAAAAAAAATTCAGGTCGAAATTCGGAAAAAAAAATTGTTCGAAATTTGTTCGATTGACACCTCTATTCTCCATCTCACAAATTTTGCTTCTCCTATCATTCCCTTTTCAAACAATTCACATCTCTTCCAATTCCATTTACAAAAGATTTTTTTTCTCTTTATAAATGTAAAGTTCTATTTTTTACCTAAGAACAAGCAATTTCAATATTCTCTTTTGTCTTTTCTCTTTCAAAGAACTTTTCAACTTTTTCCATCTCTTTTAATAATAATGAAAGAAAAAAAACAGATTAAAAACACTCACATAATCGGCCAATGCTTTCATTCCACTTGGAAAACGTTTTCGATCGGGTACAAGTTCTTGGGTAACTGGATCTCTTTCCATTTCCATCCAGCAATCGTCAATAATCACATATTCGTATCCAGCTTCCTTGTAACCATTGGCCACAATGTGATCGGTGGCATTTTTGAACAGCCATTCACTAAGTGCACATAAACATTATTTTAAATGCGTGTTTGTCAACGAAACACAGGAAAAAACGAAATTGATGCAAATAAAAGTACCTGATGCATTCGTATGGATAGGTGTCACAGTCGATGATACATCGATACCGCTGCCAAGACTACATTGAATAAAAATCAAATAGTTTTTTTTCTTCCAAAATTCGATAAAAAATATTCAATTTTATGGGACACTTGTTTCAATAAATCAAATAAAAATGCGACCAATTTTAATTATTCGACAGCAATCTTATCATAAATTTTATCATTACCATCCATCCCATTGGTGGTTTCAATGCCAGTCCATTTTCCAGAGCATTGACATTGCACGCATTGTACTGAAGGCAAATAATTGTCAAACTCAAATAGATCGTAGTACACCACATCGATAACAAATACACTTGGCACTAGGAGAAACAAACAAAAGAAGAAGAAAAAAATGATAAAAACCGCACACAGTCTATCTCTAGTCTTGCACACGTCCGTTCCTTCGACGACGCCGTTTAGTTGTAATTAAATAAACATTGCGAAGCCGAGTCCCATTTTATAAGAGCGAATTCTGTCTCTGCTCATTTCTCGTTCGTAAACAGTCTGTCCTTTTCGCACAAGATTTTTGTTTTGATTTTACGCACATTCTGGTTATCATACAATGTGAAAGTGCCGCTGTTAAATTGTTGCAGTTCTTCCACTCAGTTAGATTAGAACTTCTTTTTTAGTAAATTTATCATTTTTTTTTCCATTCATTCTCGATTCTCGATTGTTCACTCAATATTCTTATCGGCCAATTGATTTACAACATGACGTTAAAAATGGGGACAGGTTTTCGTTATTGTCAATTCGTTGAACTTATCGCATTTTATACGAATTCCTTCGATTTTGGGCATTAAAGACGTTAAAAAAATCCTAACGCACGCTCACCACACTCATTTATAGCACACAAATTCAAACGCAGTTTTTTTTTCTCCATTCTTCTTGTTCTACTCTTCGACAAACGAGTTTCAATGAAGATTTTGGTCATTGGCTATATACCACACAACGAACTCAAGGAGTCACTCAATATATCCAATCATTTGAATTGACTTTGATTATCTTTCATCAACTGAAAATTGCCCATTTTGTTTCGCTATCTATTTGTATAGATTCCATGATAAAGAAAAGAATCAATTTACAGTTAAATGATTTGAAACCAGTTGATCAAAACTTATGTCAATTGGTCTTGTCTCTTTATTTTTTATCGACGAGATGTTTTATGAACATTTTGGCGTGTGTATGTGGTCACGTCCACGGAGGTATAACGTTACTGACATACAAATGAGCTCATAACATGGCCACTATCAGAGATAGTTCAGAAGAGTGAAGACAGAAAATGTAGATCGAGTAAGGGGCAACAATAACCGAATCATAAAATGGAACATTTTTTTGGTTTTTGTAGAGATATAAGCGTGTGAAAAATACTTAGAAAATTAAAAGTTTTCATACATTTTTTTAACACCTTCTTATTCTTTTGCACATATTTAGCATAACATGTGCACAGACTGTAGAGTTCCTTGTATTAAATGAATTTTAGTATAATTAGCTAGAATTTATGCTTTTACTCTTTCTTGTTATCTATTATGATAGCAGAGTTATGAGCATATGAAAAACGTCAGTAACGTTACCGTGCGTCTTGGCTGTGACCATGTGCGGAATTATATTACAAACTTCAGCGGTATAGCGCATTGTGTGTCCTATGTCTTCCACGAATGACGGTGGGAATATGCATGTAATTCTATTTGTATCCAATCGATACGAAACTGGAAATAACAACAAAAAATACTGCAAAACCAAATGCATGGATATATGTGTTCCATAAAATCGAGTGTCAGCGGCATTGTTTACGTATGTTACTTGTCCTGCGGCTAAGACTCAATTCCGGAATAGAAAAAAACTATACTCATTTTTATGCGATATTTTAAGGTGGAGTTCTACCGCAAGCGGCGATTCGCAGCTCGAACAAACGTTCGGTCACCACTCTACTCGCAACCGACTACAAAAATCAGCTAGTCAAACACTCGCCGCGATTCACTTGCTATGATATCTTGACAATTTTTTTAAGAAACTCTTTCAATAGAATATTCTATTGTGGAGAAATTCACGAAAATGCAACAATCTATCATTTGACATGTGATTTAACTCTGAAAATTGAACATTCATTTACAAAAAAAAAAACACAAACTATCACCTTATTTCAATAACCAATTGAATATTTTCTGTAGAAAAGGAATCCGATCAAAAAGTCACTTTGAATGTTTGAATGAAATGGTCAAGCAACATGTATTTGATAGATAACGCCATCTGTTGCTTTTTAGGCCAATTGAATGCAATCAAATATTCAATTCGCTTTATTCAACTTGTATGTGCCCATAACAAATGCTTTGCATTTCATTTGGTTTGGAATATGCAGAAAATTTGGAAAAATTTAACTGAAAATAAAGTTTGTTTGAAATAATGATGTTTTTACTCATAAATACGGCAGTTTTTACAACGAATTTTAATGACCTTAGCCAAGCATTTACGTTGGATAATTGTCCAAAACGTTGAATTCAATGAATATTGACTGCTGAATGGTATGGTTGCGAGCGCCGTCTGCAGTCAAATCGGTTGAAACCATTGAATCTACATCGATATTAAATGTCATGTGACACAAATGGTGAATTTACTGGGATTGAGCGAAAAAAAAAAACAATACCACTAGTGTGAATACGTTGTATGTGTAAATTGTCGTTCTCGTGCAAATCAGGAGACCAACAACTGAGAGAGTAATTTCCAATCAGTTTTCCTCGTCGAAAAAAGCCAGTGTTTTGCTCGAAAAATCCAACCTTTAAAAACCGTAAGCATTCCTCTGATTGTTACCGTAAAAAATCATTTTGGTTAACAGCCCGTTTTGTGTTTTATGTGAAAAGAGTAAATGGAAGGAAAAAAAGAGAAGATTAATTTGAATCATGGGACATATAGAATCAATGTAGAAGGAAAAAAAAATATATACGAATTTCTGTTTGACAGCACACAGATTTTTTTTTTCTGCTCGTCGTCTTGTATATCGTTCTCTTTCGTGTTTAAATGGCTGTGCAATGGCCAAGACAGGGATGGATATAAAATGAAAACGAAAATCTTGTGATTAGAATCAAACAAGAAATGATGAGAAGAGAAAGAAGAAAAAAAATGTCATAAACGAAATTTTCATATATGATATTGTGTTTGAATGGTTTTTGATCCTGCGTACAAAATGGACAATTTGCCAAAAAAAAATTCTTCCACATCGAATTTTGTTTACAGTGTTTGCAAAATGCAATAGAATTGTCGAATCAAAATCGATGAAATTCGTCTCAGCCGAATGAGAGCGAGACAGAGCGTTGAAAAAAGAAACAACAGACCGAATGTGTGAGTGATATTATAGTGTAAATCACAAGACTCACATTATTGATGTCACTGACCAAAAATCAGGAAAAATTACTGTTTTGATGCAATTTTCATAGGGAAATTACAAAGTTTTTCGTCAAAATTCTGTGAAATTTCAATCGAACCACATGCTATTCACGAGATTCACGGCTGGGTGTACCAAAACATAGTATCATTTTTCACCATTGCAAATGTCATGTGACCAATAGTAAAACAGCTGACTTCAATCCAGTGTTGGCTTTTTGATTTGGATTTCCGATTTTTCGATCGCACCGAACCGTTTCAAATGCCCGATTTTACCACCAAAATCCCATCTATGTTATTTTCACATTGTTTGCCGTCAATATATGCATATTTTTTTTCTAAATAACTAGATAAAAAATCTCCTTTTGCAAATTATCATGAAATTCTTGTTTTTCAACTGAATTTTGCGCTCGAAACGTTTTTGGGGTATGTAACTTTTTTTACCTTTCTCCGCCAAAAGTTTATGCGAATTAAAACTTGGATTTTACATTTCAGACGTGGTTTTAAGAAGGCGCCCAACATCCATTCGAAAAGTAATTTAAAAATTAAAATGCTGTTGGTGGTTTGCTCTTGAAATGGAGCAACCGAGTTGTGGCATCAGGTGGAAATGAGTATTGAAGATTTCAAACGATTCTATAAACTGTCCGAAAAAAGACGTGAAACTTTGGATTTTTCTCCCGTCATCAGACGTTTTCAATTCAGAGATTTTGTTTGTTGTGGTCGGGGCACGTTTGAAAACTGCATTAGTCATTGGATGGTTGACTCAAGTCGGTTGGGCGGTCACATTATAGAACGATTTCGGTTTTCAATGGAAATGTACGCCGTATTTGCAGGCAGTTTGACCTTTGTAATTATATTAGTCTCCTCAAGGGATTCGATGAGGCGCGCTCGTCCAATTCAACAATTTTTTTTCGTCGACCTTTTGACAGCGATTAAAATATAGAATGTTATTTTGTTATGAAAGCAAGTCACGCGGTAAAATTATAAGCTTCAAGCTAGATGTGATTATACCCCGCTTCTTGGTTCCAGTGTGTGTATGTGTGCGTTTGTGTGTGTGTGGTCGGCACTGCTTCTCCATTACCAACTAGATCAAACATTGAATCATGGCATAATCAATCTATGAAATTGTGTGAGAAAGGATATCGTAACACATAAATGTGTTTTCGGAGGCAACGCAATGACAAACAATTATGCCATAACATTTGATTAGTAATTTAGTCCGCATTACCATTTTCGCTGAAACTATAAAACAAAGTAACGACCAAAAAACTCCAAAAATCCCACGCAAGGGTCTTGGTGAATGAATCATAGATTTTATTTTGCGTCGAGACGTAATCAAGAAAAAAAAAGAGCAAACACCACAGAAATCGGTGACGTATTTTTCCGCATTCTTGATTTTGAATCTCATTTTTCCACATGAATGCGTTGCTTCGATTCGATTTGAATATTAACCAAGAATCAAATTCGTTAATGAAGCGACAGATCCCACGTGTAGTTTCTAAGCACACATTAGCGGAAACGGTCATACGCGCACGCACACACACACACACACACACATTCACCGGGCAACAGCCATCGGGGATGATGCGTACCAATGAGGATTAATAACCGTCCTGTCCAATACTTGTTATCATTGCACTTTTCGTTGCAAATCTTTTCTCTTCACTCGCATTGTTTTTATTTTCCGTTCATTGTGCTGCTTGTGCTCGTAACAAGATTGAAAACACACGCAATTTCAACTCTGAATTGAATTTCCTGTTTTTTTGGTACTGTTGTACCATTGTTGTTGCTATTGTTGTTAGGTCGTTCAAGACGATCGAATAATACAAGCGCAAATACGCGAGTGCGAGTACACAGCATAGCGCACTTCATTCACCATTCAATCGATAGCCTTTTCACTTAGAATGAATGTTAAACAAATAGCATACGATTGTGTGATGATGTGTTGTTTTATTAGTTTGTTGGAGTTGAAATAGCGCGCACGTGGAAAACTTATTTCGTGCAGTCGCACTTTTCTACATGTACATTTTCCCGTTTGTCATAGACGAATAGTCGTTGCATACAGAGAAAGGGATGACATGGCTAGCGAGAGTCTAAGAGAGACAGTGAATGAGGGAGCAAGAAAATGAGAGCGGCCACGCAATGTACATGGATACACATACAATTCGAACATACTACATGTATCAGACTTTTGGGCCACACCATCGCCGCCGTTGCCGCACCACCAGCGCCACAGTCTCTCCAATTTTCGAAACAAACCAACCAGCTGGATTGAATTAAGCACGGTATTGGGCCAAGTCATATTCATACACAACAACAGTCAGTGGCAACATCGACACTGTCGACAGTCGCATGGTTTCGTGTCGATTCAGTCGAGTGTGTGATGTTATTCGCATCGGTTGAATATTATTCGAACCAAATGTGTTCTACTCACTCGCTCTACATTCATTTTCGATTTCAAATCGAAACAAATAATAAAAACGAATCAATTTTACAACCTATTTGATTTTCACCACTTCGCCATCGAATCAATTTGAAAACATCTATAAAAAAATAAAATAAAAGAACAAAATTGCTAATTTTTTTTTTGTTCTTTTCAAAATTGATAACGCGAAATTTCTGCCCGACGATCCAACTGAAAAAGAATACTCTCTAAACAACGCACGTTCGAAAAATAAAACCGATCATAAATAATTATTATTTAGAAATCGCATCGAAATTCGATTGTTTTGATTTTTTTTTTGTTCTTTTCTCCGTTCATTTACTTGATTCGTTTCATTTTCTGGGATTTTTTCTCGGTTGTTGTTTTTTTTTTCACTCTCAATCGTGTGTTCATTTAAACCGAAACCAAGTTTTTGTTTCTTTTTGTTTTCGTGTGTGTCATAAGCATTTTCCATTCCTGTGTATGTGGAAAATGTCGATTTAATGTGTGTATACTCGTGGGAGTCGTGTAATCGAAAAACAAAATAGTTTTTCAGTTAAATTTACCATAAAACATGGAACTGATAAGGTCGATTTCCCAATCAGACCGACTTTTATCCAAGAAAATCAATTCAAATCATTGTGATAAATTGGTGAAAATATGTGTTATTGTTGTACAGTGATTTTATTTCTAATATTCGACCGTAATTTTCGTTTGTGGTGTATTTTTCTTGTTCTCGATTCGATTTTTCGATCAACGTGCTTATTATTACTATTATCATTTGTTCCTGTTCTCGGTTCGATTCCATTTCTACACTCGAATGGTGTAAACTATTAACTCTTTGACCGTCCTCACTCTCCTAGTTCTCACTCTCTGTCAACGCTCTAAATCGAAGAATTATTTGGTTGAAACCCGCAATTGAAATCGTGTTCCGTTTAAAATTGTGTTCAACACAAGAAGTAAGAATAGAAAAAAAAGGAGACAAAAAATCCCGAAAACTTGAACTTTCAAAGTACAAAGTCAATGTGCTAAACGAGCAGAAAAGAAAGGAAGAAAGGAAGAAAAGAAGAAAAAATGTTGAAAAATATACAACGAATGAGTCAACGCGTGCTGTTCAAACCGAGATTCATTGTAGATTTTTTCTATTATGGAAAGGAATCTATGAATATCTTTTATTTTTAGGCGTAATTGTGTTTGCCAATCAATTCAATCACAGAAATCGAGCCAAATTCCAGCGCAAAGCAGCAATTCTTATCACGCACGCGACACACACACACAGTTCTGTGACAGCAACAGCAGCAGCATCAGTATTTAATAGAAAAAGCAAGTAAACCGCCAATAGAACAGATCACCAGCCAAGGAAAGAGAAAGAAGAAATCAAGTAACAATGGCCGAATATTGGTTGATATCTGCACCCGGTGACAAAACAATGCAACAAACATGGGAAACCATGAACAACGTAACCAGCAAACAGAACAATCTGTGCGTCAACTACAAATTCCATATACCGGATTTAAAGGTAAGCGTTTTTTTCTCCAGTTTTTTTCGGGTTCGGCATTGCCTCATTCTTTTTCTTTAAATTTTCATTTCATTTCGTTCCACTTCATTTATATGCATTGGTATCATCGCGTCGCCATTTCATTTTTGTCGCCAGTCATACTAGGCACCATCATCCATCGGATGATAGTTATAGATCATCGTTCATTTCTCTTTTTTTTCTCCATTTCTTACTCTTTTTTTTCACGTTTCATTGGAATGATCCATTTGTATATTGAGCGCACAATTGGTATATACCAATTAGCAAGTCCAAGCCAATGTGGAAATAACCGTGTGCATTTTTACTGCAATTGGATTTTAAATTATGTAAATGAGAAATTGCGTCCGATTGGATTGCGTTTAGTTTGCATCGGGTAAAATATAATATCGTACATATATCCATGTTTAGCGAATGCGGTCACACACAATCATCACCCTCTGCCACTGTCTCGTTTGTTATCTCTCAACCGAGAAATGGGTTTGTGTTTGTTGTGATATTGAATTCCCGGTTCGCACGCCAACGGCCGAATCAATCGGCTCTTGACTTTCTGGGAATGAAAGCGAAAATTATCATTGTATATATGGGAGGATTGGCGCGGCGAAATGGTTGCTTGAATGCATTATACAGTTGATTGACCGCCATTTTTCATCGTCGTCGTCGTTGTTGTCGCCGTCATCGTCGTCCTATTCGTTTCAAATTACAGAGCCCGGAAAATTAGCAACAATGCGGCAAAATTAGCTACAACACACACATACTCGGTCCTTTTGTCTACCGGTTGATATTTGTTGGTCGTGGAATGTGTAGTCGTCGTCGTCATTGATCAAACATGTCTCGTTGACTTGACGAGAAACCTCCCCATCACATACATTCGCAACATTGAAAGAAAATAAGATCAAACGCAACTTCCGACCATCAAATTCGTACGTTTGTCGCCACCAAATGCCCATCTATTCATGCAAGTGTGATCGCATGAAGACGGAAAATTCGTTTGAAATGTTGAAGATAATAGTGATTCACACGCACAGAATCGTTCCGATGTCTACTTGAATTTTAATAAGAAGTGGTAGCAACATGTTTTTTTCTCCCAAAGTGCTTTATTTTGGGCTAGATAAATCATATGATAATATATTTAGTAAGTAATTACAATTTGTAATTTATGGATGTTGCCCTCCGGAAGAAAAAAAAATGAGAAAATGGTTGATATGTATTTGTGTATGCGTGTGTGGCTGGCGCGCATTTAAATAATACAGTCGTGTGCCGAATTCTCCATGTATTTTGAATGTATGGTCGGATCGTTTGTGCATTATTGCTTGGCAAACAGTCATTCGTTCTAATTATGTAATCTTATCACATGTCCAAATTATTGATCATGACATCATAACCAATTCATAGTTTGTCGCGATTCAATTGGTGCATTCAATTTGATTGGTCTTTCGAGATTATTTTTTCAAATGAACCATTGATCGCGCATTTTTCATTCATCGAAATATCAGCCACCACAACTACCACCACCATCATCATCATTTATTTATCTCTTCTCTACCTCTCTCCGTAGCTACCGCCTTTAAAAATACAATTTATTAATTCCGCGATGTCTTTTATTTCACACTGATAGCCATGAATTGAATGGCATTTATGTACACACACACAAAAACAATGGTGGATAAAAATGGTGTACATTTTTTTGCTCTCCTTTTCTCATGCAGTAGTTTTGTCTAAAAATAACATTCAATGCAAACAAGACGAGCTTAAATATTAAAATTCATAAAGTTCGAAGATGGTTGATGAGATAGACAATAAATCACACACATACACGCGCACATGCACATGGATATCGCCGCTGTTATTATTATATTACTTTTCATTTTTTTTATTATTAGTTCGAACTTAAGCATATGAAACTATTAATTATGTACGAGTATGGATCATTGGAAAATTGTGAGTGTGTGCGGGGACATGTAACAAAATGATGTGTTTCAGAGGAAGAAATGTGAAAAAGCAAAAGAAGAAAAAGGAGGATGAGGTGGAGGAGGAGAGAGAAAACGCGCTGAGCTTTTTTGCTGCTATTTTCCCATTCCCTTCTTCTTCTTCTTTTTTTTCATTGTTTTATTGAATAATACAGTGAATGGATCGTCATTGTTGGCTCATCGAAAAAAAAACGCTATTTGTAGATCATCCGATGAAGAAGAAAGAAAAGAAAAAGTAACGAAAACCACACCAAAATAACGTGCACCAAGCCAAAGCTTTTTCTTTGTGTTTTGTTTTGCTTTTTGGCCGTGCGGCGTTCGCCCCTAAGGTTTGTGTGTTTGTATGTGTCTCGGTCGAATGCACAGCAAAGCCGTGTGTTTTCTCTCTCTCTCTCTCTCTCTCTCTCTCTCTCTCTCTCTCTCTCTCTCTCTCTCTCTCTCTCTCTCTCTCTCTCTCTCATTTAACCGACACAACTTACCAAATTGATGCGGTATCTGGCGCGCACACGGGGTTATAGCGAGCGCGTTAATGTTAGAGAATAGATAGATTACGGTGTTGTGGCGTATGTTCAAAAGTGTGTGACTTACTCGATTACTGTGTCGTATTTTTCGTATTCACATAAATATGTGACAATAATCGATTGATTAATTTATTCATTAGCGGACCGAAGGACATTCGTGGCATTGGTTCACGGTCAGAAAAAATTGAGTGTGTGTACTCAAATGATGATATTATCATCCACAACAACGGAAAAAAGGGGGAAATTTACTAATCCACGCATCCAAGCCCATTGATTTTTTTTTCGTTGTTTTTCGTCAACAACTTCGTCATAGCCACACACACACACACGTTATCACTACCGCTTGGTCAAACGGGAGCGCGAGTGCGTGGTTTGGCACGCGCCAATATTTATCTCCATGTTTTCATGTACTCTCACTATCAGTTTGATTTCCATTATTTTATTTGTTTAATTCGTGATTCCTTCCGCCACACATTTTTGCCAGATGGTTGACTTGTGATTGGCTGTTGTGCGCCACGCATTTCCTTACCAAGATTTTGCCAAGTCTCATTTTACCCGACGCCTCATTTGCTATTTCACGCTGGTGCGTCTTGTCAATGTGGTCGATTGCCGTTGTCATTGTCTTTGTTTCGCTATAATTCGACACTATTTCATTTGGCTACGCTTTGGCATTTCGCATGTCGGTAATCAATAATCCAAAGACGAAAGCGTGTCACATGACTAATACCCTTAGAAAAATTTGAAAGCTTTTGTGCAAAAACGCGTTTCATCCCCACAAACTCAGCTACACACACATACTCTCTCTCTCTCTCTCTCTCTATGTTTATCCATCTTCAAGCGAAACAGTTTCAACCGAATAAAAGCGTCTGAATTTGGCACCGAGAGTTCAACCAAACCAAAAGTCGCTGAATTATTATGTTTACATGTTTAAAAAAGGAAAGTCATCAACAACAACAACATCACCACCACCAAAATTCACTTGTCCCAAATATAGTTTCGTAAGAAGCCGTGGGACGGTTACGCACTCTCTGTAATTTTCCAGAAACAACACAAGAAAGTCACACGATCACAAATATTTTCGTTTGTCATATTTGATTTGACATTTTCAATCATTTTCGTCCCTCAAAATTTTCCAAGCTCGACACATTGCCCAAGCAAAGTGAGCTCAGCTTTTTCGTGGAGCTGAATTCACAGGCCATACAAAGAGAGATAGAGAGGTAGGTTGAAAGAAGAAGAAGAAAGACAAAAATATAAAGGACTCTTATTAATTGACAATGTATAAAATCAAGCAACTTAATATGAACTGTAATCAATGCTCAACCTCCTTCCTAGTTTGCATACGCGGCATTGCACACTAATTATTGCTTATCAATTGAACCTTTGGCCGAAATAAGCCAACAATCAACAAGTTGCAAAGGCAAACCTCACAACTAAATGACGAGCGTTTTCTCAGCGCACACACACACACACACACACACACACACACACACACACACACAAAACACACGCACACAGCCAGTGTAATAGCAGCAAAATTACAATGTTTGGGTGTACAAGCGCAAAGCTTATTGATTATTATTAAAAAGTAATATATTCGGTCGGACAACTGATACTCGTCGAACTCGAGACGATAATAATATTTGATAAATGCCGTGCTGAAAATGCTCCGACTGACTTAATTACATTATTTGTCTTTGCATAACGTCCGTAATATTGATATCGCTTCACTTATGCACGGTAGTAGTTTTTCATTTGATACACATCTATATTTAGTTCATTCAAGGATGAAGAAGGGAAAAAAAATATGATTATTGACAATTCTTGACAATGACAACGAGCGACGGAACGAGTGAGCGTTGATGGCCGTTGTCTGTTGTTGCGTGCATTTCCGCTCGCCTAGCAGTCAGTCAATCAGCCAAACAATTGTTCACTGCCTTAGTTCATAATATCGAATCCAATCCAATGCAATCGCATTAAGATTATAATTTAAGCTCTTCTTAATCTTAAAGAGTTCTATCAAAAGGATGAAGCTTTTTATCCAAGACATTTACTTTCCAAGAACTCTCTAATCAATTTTTTCAATTGCTAACAGAATATTTCAACGGAAAATCGCTTCTCTGATGATTTTATGTGGTCCTTTTATGCCTCAAACTAATTTTAGCTTGATATGTTGGTGTTGTGGGTGTCGTTGAAAAGTGCGGAAAACTGACGTAAAATCTGTTCGATCTGGGACATTGAATCACCTCAATATGACTCCCCTTATGAATTCTTAGAAAATATAACATCGAATTTGAGCAATGCTTACTATTGCCACATTCATTTTTTTTTTCATTTTTCCTTCGTTTCTTACTTGCCCCTGCTCTTCGTTCATCGTTTAGAAATTTTCACCAACGAAGACGCTTATAATTAAATGAAATAATTTCCATGCGGTCTTCCGTGTTCCAAGTTGGTCTTGTGTGTTATTATTTTTTTCTGTGTGAGGATACATCGTTCAATTACGTGGCACATGTTAAACTTCTGTATATAGATGTGTTGAATATAAATGTCTGTTTCCCTCTCACGCTCTCTATCGCTCTCTCTCTCTATCGCTTTCGGTGTACATGTGTCAGAAGCTTATGTATACAATCACCATTTATTTTCATCAAAAACAGAGCAAAAAAGAAAAACAACCCAAATGTAACCGCTCGTGTGTCGTCCAGATACTCTTATTTTACGTAACGTGTCATTTGATTCCCAGGAAGTTTATACAAGCACAAACACACACACACACACACACACACACACACATACACACATGCCAAGACACACATAAAACTATAAAAAGCGAAAGAACGGTCAACTACGACATTCACGGTGATTCAAGGGCTATGTTCATCGAAAATAATTTTCCCAAAATGTCAATTGATATAATTTATGTTTTGGATGAAGATGAGTTCAAATTGCGGTTCAAGCACATACAAATACACAATCATTTCGAGAAACATTCCAAATGGTTGTTAACGATGACGATAGTTTTTGGGTTCGATGCGGGTGAACTTAACATCAATGCTACGATTGAAACTGAACAATGTGGACCCCGTAAAATTAGATAATTTTTGATATAGGCAAAGAATGAATAAGTCATGTTGAATCGCTTTAAGTTTGTTTTGTTTTTTTTCTTTGGGTTTTTTTTTTGTTTTCGTCTTCTTCGAATTATTCAAATTGATTTGGTTTGTGAATTGCGTGCTTAAAGATGTTTTGTCGAAATGTTTGTGAGGCAAAAATTCCAAAATACAAACAAATTGCCTGAACAAGTCAGTGGATCGACCGGCCAGCCAGACAAAATAAAATTGGAATTCAGCTGCTGTATGCTCATTGTCATTTCGTGCTTATGCATGGTTCGCCTCCTGTTTTATTTTTTATAAATAAGCACATACAGAGAAAAAAGAGTGCGATCCGCTATAAAGTACAGACACAGATCGATCGCATTTATTTGTCTATAGACGGGCAAGTGTAAGCTTCAAGCTAAAAAAAAGAGAAAACAAAACAAAAAACAAAAGAAGGAACAACAATTCCGAAATGCTAAATAGTACAAACGTACTATAGAATGTGACCTTATCGATCCTAAAAATTAAAAATAAATGCCAGTTCATTAAATATTTGATATAAAGATACGGTGGCAATTTCTAGTTGTCCTTGACTTTCATTTCGTGCACGACTGACCGCCCCGCCTGTTCGCCACAATCTTCTCCATCGTATGCACCACCACGCCACAGCGATGTACAGATGTTTTGATGGCTATAATATCATTGTCCTTTTTTTGGGGCACGAAATTTCATCGCTTTGAATCGGGTTATCGTGCCAGTATGCAACTCATTATTTTTTGTCAAATGCTTTCGCGTAATTTACCCATCACATCTTTGCAATTGTATATGTATGCAGTGTTTATCCATGCACCGAATGAAAAGAATATGGAATAAGCCTCATTTTTGGTGGTGACAATATCAAAAATTAAAAAAAAAAAGTAAATATAAAACCACCCTCTATTTATATTTGACAACGTACATGGCGACGACGACGACCACAACCACAATGATGATGATAACAACAACGACACATTGACAGTGATGACGATGATGTCGGCGTTGTAATAAGAACCGCGGTAATATCGCGGATAGTTAACATTTAGTATTGTGCATTATCCATTAATGAGGTTGAAATACGAGGCGGATAATGTCGATATTTTCTCGTCTATAAATAAAATTTCATATCGCTCTCCTTGTCTTCTTACTCATTCAAGTCACTGCCTGCTTGCTTCGCTTGTTCATCCATGGGTTTTCTATAATTTATTCATCAATCCATCCATCCATCCATGTATGTGGCTCAGTGTTAAATGATTATTTTCGGTTTATGTTTCATTGGGACAATCGAAATTGACACACTTCCCAATCGAATTTTTACATCGATCGAACATCTGTGTGTACATTTCCTTATTTTAAGTTTGTTTTATTGTCAATGCTCAAAGATTTCACATGTGTTTTGTCTTTCTATTCGTATTGTTAATTTTCTCTTGTATCTTTTATCAATATTCAGGTTGGTACATTGGATCAATTAGTTGGTCTTTCCGATGATTTAGGAAAATTGGATGGATATGTTGAATCCATCACACGTAAAGTGGCTACGTATTTAGGTGAAGTACTTGAAGATCAACGTGATAAATTGCAAGAGAATTTATTGGCGAACAACAGTAAGTAGCCCGTCATTTATTTTAATTTTGTATTTACACATTTCACACACACTCTTCGAATATGCAAGCATCGTGATTGACTTCGTCTCGTTCCACTCTTTCGTTGTTATTGAATTGAATCGAGTCGATTTCCGACTGTCTGTTCCGACATCATTCTCACCCGAAAAATCGCGCGTCGATTTGATTCAATGAACGTCAATCGAAACAGACATAATAAATCTTGGTGCAGAATTGGTTGATTTTATGATGTATCTTTAGATGATAAATATAGCGAAACATACATATATACTTAAGATAAATTGTAATGCAAATCATTAAATCACTAACCGTAATTGTGTGCATTTCATATGGATTTCGATTCGTTTTTTTTTTTACTTCACTTTCAATTTACTTTATTAAACTGTAAGAAACACTTGAATGATTTGTAATTAGATTTAGAGAGCGGTGCTTATTCTTTTCAAAGATCTCTACTCTTTAACCAGATCCCACTTTATCAAAATGGGTGCAAACAAATTGAATCTTTTCTACCCGTTTACTGTGCCTGTTGCATCTTTAACCTTTTTTTTTAACTCTATAAAATTGCATTGAAAACATGTTAGTTAAGTTGACTATTTCCTCCATTGATTTTTTTTCTCGTTTTTGTTTTTCATCACTCGGATAAACAATTACGACGGACGGAATATATTCTATGAATTCTTAGAATTAAGTATAATGACATTTGGGCATAATCATTTCGTTTTAAATCATAATTGTGCGCATCCAACTGATTCAATGCTATTCGTCGTATGAGTTTTCATTAGCAGTTTTCAAGTATTGGTTGGTTGTTTTATTTCTGCCTGTAGCGTTGATAATGTAAACTTGTGTAAACATAGTTCAACTAGTGCCTTGAATTATTTTTCCCCATTTTTCGATTAAACTCTCAATCTATTTGAGCATTTTAATTAACGTTCAAGTGTGTTTCACTTTCCCTCACTAGAAGAATGTAATTACGGTTCGAAAAATGTCATGTTTTTGTGATCGGGATGACGACGACGACGACGACGACGACGACGACGAAAATGATGAAAATGTTTGGTATGTGTGTGAGTGCGTGTGTATAATGTTCTGATTATTCCCATGGAAATCATATGCATGGATGGGTATGATGAGTATATGTGTGTAATCAGTCAAGTGTGGAGAAATGAAATGAGGGAGGCAAAATATATGCAAGCATGTGTGTGTGTGCGTGCGTGTGGTGGTGCATGTATGAATTCTGGAAACTGCATTTTCTATTTATTACGCATCTCATATTCAAGAAGATTTATTGAAATGAAAAACTACTTTGTCTTTTCGCGTGTCAACCTCGTCGCGTTTGCATCGCAGAGAGTAGCACTCTTTTTAAAACCATGAATTATTACCATAGAACCGATATGCATGGGGCGACAACGAAATCAGTGGAATCGCAATTTTTAATTAGTTTTAATTTAAAAAGCAAGTGTGCATCATCTATGGAATGATAATATATGTTTGTATGAGTGAATGTGTGTATGTGTGTGTGTGTGTGTGTGTGTGTGTGTGTGTGTGTGTGTGTTTGTGCGTGCAAACGAAAATCATAATGAATGAATGGATGGATGGAACGAAGCTTTTTATTCTATTGGATGATGTGACTTCTTAATCAAATTTTACTTCACTTTCTATTCTTTCAATGCCAGAGAGATGGATTGAGATTCGGAGAAAAGTTTTCGCAACTTGTTAAGTTCTTGACTTGTTTGTTAGTACTTGATGGTTGTTATTCTTGCGACACAGGCGACCATCATTCGAAATGGGAAATCCTCGAAAATTTATTAAAAATGCAATTAAATGCCTTTCACCACAACGTTGTAATTGTGATCGGGTGGGTTTTAAATCACATTTGATTCAGCTTCCTACCCGGTGCTCTCTGCCCCTTCCGCGCCAAACTATCTAGTGGCATTGTATTTCATTGCGGATAAATGGCTTTTCTCTTGCTACTGATGCTGTTACAGCAGACGCATTAGCAGTAGAAAAAAGAGGAGCTGTTGAAAATGTTTGCGGAAGAATTGGCGCCACTCAGGTGGCGTGAGAGAATAACAAAATGGACAAAAGGAAAAAAAAGTGAGCGTGTCGTGAGTATTTATGTTCGCGTTGGCCGTAAATCCAAAACATGAAACTGTATGTTTTCCAATCTTTTGAATCTTCCATCGCATGATTTCAACCTCTCTCTTCTCCCCTCTCTTTCTCTCTCTCTCTCTCTCTCTCTCTCTCTCTCTCTCTCTCTCTCTCT